TGGGGAGGACTGACCTTGGTGGTCCTTTCTTCTCCATGGCAGGTATTGTGCTGAGTGCTTTGTGCACTTAATCTTACCGGTTCCTCTTCATAAACTAAAGAGGAGGGATTCTTTTCCCTGTTCTCTGTGCACAAAGGCACTTTTCAGGGCCGTTTTCTAGGAGTGTCTTTCCCTCTGTCCCCTCGGTCAAGCCTGGCCCGGTGCCCACCCAGGAAAGAAGGCTGGAGAGAACATCTCCTCTCCAGTCCCTAAGACATGTTGCACTGACCAGCCACACACATTCCTTCCATAGGGTCTTTGGATTTCCATTTTTGGCAGCTTTTTTATGCCGATCACCAGCCCTGTGGGCTGGGCCAGCAGAATGAGGGTTGTAGACTGGCCACCCAGGAGCCAGAGATGTCATTTCTAAATGTGCTTTCGTCATACAGTGTGGTCCCCACTGTGGCTTTTTTAAAAAAACAAATTTAATTAAAATCAAAATACAAAATGTCAGGAATTCTGGGCTCTCTTAAACCTGGAAGGTCTGAGCACGTGGTCAGCCCTCAGGGAGCCCAGCGGAGCTGTGTTTTCTCGTGCCCACAGCTCTGGCCACTCTCTACCAGCCTCACCTGCAGGGTGGCTTGCTGGGGGTCCTCTCCCTGCATCTGCCAGTCTTCCTGCAGATCAGATCCATGCAATGCAGGCTCGCTGCCCACCCCTCATAACTGTCATGGGAGTCCCAGCACCTCCACATGCAGGGCCTGGAGACTTAAACACGGGGATCCATATATACGCCTGAGGGGCAGGGACTAAGCAGGGGAATAGGAGACATAGGCAGAGAAACTGAGGCAGGAGCACAAGCCTAGGTTGGGGGGAAACTGACTCAGAAGCCACCCCTGCCACTCCCAGGCCTGGCCTGCAGCAGGTCAGGCCTGCTTAGGTCAGGTCCCCCCACACCAACCAAGTGCATTTTCCAGGGCAGTGCGTCTGATTGGCCCAGGCTGGGCTGGTTCCCGCCCCTTGGCCAAGTGAGGGTGGGCCTCCCTGGTAGTCCCACCAGGACTGTCAGTATTCATCAGAGGGTGTGGTTACTCCCCAAAGCAAAACTCCTGTGTTTGTAGCCAGAAAGAAAGGAGATGGAGGCCAAGAAAGCAGACCCAGCCAATGGAGGTGCCAAGAGGGGTGGATTTGGAGCTCAGGTCTGGGCTGGGAAGGAGATGTGGCACCTGGGAGAGGAGGTCCTCTGTGCACGTGGGCCCACAGGCCAAAGTTAATACCTGGAAGGGATGGCCTGTCCCCGTAGGGGCCACTGTGACCCCGGGCCAACCAGCATGGGCTTTTTCTCTCCTCGTGTTTTGGGCACTGCTGGTCACACCTCAAGTGTCTGACCGAGTCCCTCTGACACTGTGGCCTGGGGATACCAGCATCAGTGCCCAGGTGGGCTGATGGTCAGGAACAGGGCCTGGAGTTCAGACTCACCTGTGCTCAAGTCCCAGCTCTTCCATGTACTCAGCATGAGAGCTGGGTACCTGCCTTTCCCACTCTGAGCCTCAGTTTCCTTATCGGTAAGATGGGAGGCCTAAGGGATGAGATGGGGCGTCAGGCAGGGAAGATTGGCCTTCCCAGGTCAGGACTGCAGGCTTCTCCCCAGCCTCCCTCCCACAGACTCCAGTACTTGAATGCCTGGTGTGTTGGCCACACCTCATCATCCCTTTTTGCACTGTTCAATTTCAGGCTTCACTGCCTCTCACCTGCACCACTGAATCACTTGAATGCCACGTATCTTGACCGAGCACCCACTGTGCATGTGTGTCAGGGAGCCGGGCCCTAGAGTGCAGCAGTGGGCGAGCCAGCCTCCTCCTGGAGAGAACACAATGCCAGGAGACCAAGGCCAGTGTGAAGTCTGGGGGATTGGGGAGGCCCAGGGGTCACAGGGGTCAGGAGGCATGCCAGGCAAGCAGGTGCAGCGTGTTCGAAGGTGTGGTGTGTGGTTAGTCCTGGGGTAAAGGGGCCCTCACCTGGACACATCAGAAAGTGGACTTTGCATTCAAACCATGGCTGGGCCACTGTTGGTTGCGTCCCCTCAGAGGGTCACGGGGTGAGCATGCCCGCGATCCCACCACCCGCCATAGCCCTGGGATGTGTTCAGGTGTTCTGGGGGCCTTTCGTCTTCTCAGCTATGTTTGATGACTGAGCTCGACCTTCATTCAGCTTGAATGGATAGCACCAAGACAATAGCATACATCGGGGCAAAGGGGGCATGAACACCAATGAAGCATTTTTTCAGTGTCCCATTGTAATTTTATTCATTGGAATAATATTGCTTGTATCGTGTCATATGTGCAGTTTTCTCTCCTCCCATTTTCACTTTGTTACATCATAACCATTTCTGTGTTATCACTGAGTCCTCATAATTGTCATTTCAACGGCAACAGAAACTCCACTAATGGGTATGTTCTCCTTCTGTTCATCATCTGTGGCGTTCTGCATTTTGTTCACTGCTTATAATTAACACCAAACCAAACTCCTTTCCAAAACTTTTCCTCTTTAGATGATTTTCTTGGGATAAATTTCCAAGGATTTGATTAAGGTGAAAGAACACTCTCAAACATAAGGCTCTTTGCACATCGAGTCAAATCTTGTCCAATTCAAAGGGGCTGTGACAGTGTATAGCCCTGCCCAGCAGTGTTTAAAGGGCTGTTCCAACATGCCAGACAGCACTGGTTGTTTTGTTGTCTTGTTCATTTAGTGGGCATAAAGCAGACACCTACTGGAGTCATACCATGCACTTGTCTATACACACACACACACAGACACACACACACACACACGGAGTCCCAGGCCCCCAGGCAAAGCAAAGAGAGATAACTTGAAACAGCTCTTTAGATGGGGCATAGACGGAGTAGCCCGCCAGCCCGCTCGGGACCTCTGTGCCGGCCCTGTACTCCCAGCTGCTGCTCATGTACACCATGCAGGCTGTGTGCTTAGAAGCACACATTGGGGAACTACTGGTGATTCCAAGGATTCTCAAGGGAAATTGTGACAATAAACAATTTTCCCAGCATCACTGGCTTCTTTTAAAATTGTGGTAAAATACACATAACATGAAATTTACGATCTTAACCATTTTTAAGTGTGCAGTTCAATTGCATTAAATACATTCACATTGTTGTGCAGCCACCACCAGCATCCATCTCCAGAATTCTTTTTATCTTGCAGCACTGAAGCTCTCTGAATAAAAGTAACTCCCCATGCACCTCCTGCCCTGGGAGCCACCTTCTACTGTCTGTCTCTATGAACTTGACTACTCCAGGAGCTGCATGTAAGAGGAATCATACAGATTGGTCCTTTTGTGTCTGGCTTATTTCACTCAGCATTAGAGTCCTCAAGTTTCACTCACGTGGTAGCACATGTCAGAATGTCCTTCCTTTTTAAGGCTGAATAATAGCCCATCGTGTGTATCCATCACATTTTGTTATCCATTCATCTGTTGATGGACAGTTGAGTTGGCTTTTAAAATTTACCCCGATAGCTAGTGGGAAGCAGCCGCATAGCACAGGGAGATCAGCTCCGTGCTTTGTGACCACCTAGAGGGGTGGGATAGGGAGGGTGGGAGGGAGATGCAAGAGGAAGGAGATATGGGGATATATGGATATGTATAGCTTATTCACTTTGTTATAAAGCAGAAACTAACACACCATTGTAAAGCAATTATACTCCAATAAAGATGTTAAAAAAAAATTACCGTTGGACATCCAAACAATGGATTACTGTGGGACAGTTAAAAAATAAAAAGCATGAACATGCTCTGTCCTGCCATGGGAAGATTTCCAAAATGTACTGTTAGTGAAAAGAGCACAGGAGAGTGTGTGCAATACACTACTTTTTGTGTAATAAAGAAAGGGGGGAATATATATATTTATATTTTCTTGTCCTTGTATACAGAAGGACAGAAAAATAGGTAAGAAATTAATAAAAGCAGTTACTATGGGAAAGGGTGAATGGGGCCACTTCCGCAGCCCATCTGTGTTCCCAGTAGGCTGGAGCCCCTGCTCAAGGGAGGAGGATGACGTCTGTGCCAGCGCACCTTCGGGGAGGGGTGGGAGGAATGTCAGGGCACTACCGTGGCTCTGACCACACCCACCCTATCTCAAAGGAATACCCAGATGCAGGAAGTCATCATCCCCTCTCCCCTTGCCTGGGCACACCCTTCAGAGCCTCAGTGGTACAGTCTCTCTGCATGCCTTGGCTTGCTTATGTCTGCCTCCCCAACCCCTTGCCAGCTCTGAGAGGTCCTGTCCGTATGCAGCCACTCCATGCATGCACGCATGAATGACCATCAGCAACAGCAGGAGACACCAGAGACTGCAGCAGGGGGCCAAGCCCATCCATCCACTGATAATCGGGCCAGAGCCCAGCTGGCAACAGGATGGGTGCTTGGAGGTGGGAGGGCAACATCAACCACCCATCTGCTCTCTGGGCATCCCTGTGAGTCATAATGGTTCTGGCCCCCAGCTCCACGCAACCCCTGACCTCCAGTGTAAACTTGCTGCTTCGGAACAGAGCTGGGTCCAAGCCCTCCCCCCTTCCTCGTGTGTCCGGCCCCCCACACCCGGCTCCCAGTACCAGGCCAGACCTGAGGTGCTCTGGATGCTTCCCAGCTCACCTCTTGAAGCTGTGGCATCCTGGCTTCCCCAGAAAGGCCCCTCTGCAGCCCCTCTCACATTGTCTGACGGACCACCCTGAGCTACAGAGAGGTTTCCAGAATCGCCTCCACCTCCACTACTGGCTCATCTTTGAGAAAACTGGGATCTGGGACAGGCTACAGGGAGGAGGTGCCAGGTGTCTGGCAGGAGAGAGTGGACCTTCCTGGCCTCAAGAGCTTTCTGTCTAGTGGAACTGGGCTCTGGTTCTGGGCTCTGGGTGTGCGGCAGAGGCAGCGCTCACCCCAGAGTTAACCACCATTCCCTGCAGGGCAGCCCCCACGTGCCCTCATGTGCAGCAGCTTTCCCACTGGGATGGACAGGAGACAATTTTGTGAAATTTTAGTTTCATCAACTGAAAATTGAACACTTACAACTTTGCTGGAAAGGTGAAATAAAGCTGTGGCTGTCCCTAGGGCTGGGGCTGTCCAGGCCGCTGTTCAGACTGGTTCCCGCACCCTCCCTGCACCGTAACCCAGTCCCTGCACGCCCTAGGGACGGCCCTCTGCGGGGCTGCTTCTGATCCCCAACATCAGCTTGGACTCTCCAAGTCCCTCTGTCTTTACTTTCAGGGCCAGGTCACCAGGGGGCAGGAGAAGTCAGAAACAGGCTGGGGCCAGGGTCTGCCATGGGGGCAGCAGGGGTGAGGTGAGAGGGGCAGTGGGGAGGCTGCTCCCTGTAAGGTCCCTGTGGTGATCCTGCAGGACTCCACAGTTAAAGCTGCGGGGGCTACTTGAATGTATGGAGAGATGGGTACATATAGGAGCTGGTTAAACGTATGAGAGATGGTTAAACAGTCACAGGCTTGGCCAGGACTCGCTGCCACAAGTGCCCCAAAGGCTTCGTTCAGGAACACTGGCCAACAGGCATATGTGCAGAGCCCGAGGGAGGAAGCACTGTCCAGTGCACACTCGTGGACAGGTGCCTGCTGCAGGCCAGGACCTTGACTCAGTGCTGGGTCAGAAGACATGTGTGCTGTGGCCCCACCTGGAGGAGGTCTGGCTGGAGACCTTTCTCTATACCAGGCACCAGCAGCACCCCAAGCACTCCACAATGCTGACAGGGAGAATCTGCTGATGCCCACCGGAAGTCAGGCCCAGCCTTGAGGGGTTGCTGCAGGGAAACAGGGAAGGTCCCACCTAGGGGGAGTCACTTCAGCCACGTGCAGAGGGATGGAGGATTGAAGATGGTGGGAGAGCCTTCCTGCAAGGGGGGAATAGCTGGACAGGTCAGTGGGTCCTAATCACAAAGAGCCTGGACAGTCATTTGGCTGCACCTGAGAGAAACTCAAACAGACTCATGTAATGAAGCAGTCCACAGAGCAGCTTCGGGCACAGCAGGATCCAGGGCCTCACCCACTGAACTCAGGAATGTGCTCACTTTCCTGGCTCCTTGAGGGACAGGATGGTCCCAACCGTGCCATTCCACTGCTCAGGGACCCAGGGGAAAGAGCTTTCAAGTGCCACAGAAGTTCTAGGATTGCATCTGAGCCCTCTAGTTTGGATCAGGTCCACCCCTGACTCATTCTTGTGGCCAGCAGCAGGGCAAATACGTTGATTGTCTAAGCCTGGTCAAAAACAACCTTCACTGCGAGTAGGAGTGGATACTGGAAACAGTCAGTCCCTAAATGTCTAGGAATGATAATGGAAAAGAGATGATTCCTGGGGATGCAGTGGCTATGGGGTGGGAGGATCCCTCCCTGGCAGCCCTCCCAGGAGGTGATCACTGGGCTCAGGTGGGCACAGAAGAGCCTATGGGAGGCAGGGCCTGCCCAGCCAGGATCCTGGGGGACCAGCAGGTCCAAATGCCCCTTGCTATTGCAGGTAGGCATGCCCCGGACACTGAGCACCTCCGACATGGTCACTCCAGGCAGCCTCGGCCTACCCCACCCTGAGCCCACGGATGGTGAGCAGGCCGGGCAGCCCCTCCTGGATGGAGCTCCATCCTCAGCCTCCCTGGACACCCTGATCGAGCAGCTGGTGCCCAAAGCTGACTACTACCCTGAGGTGGGTGATCCACCCAGTGGGGAGGAGGGGTAGCAGACTGGGCTCTCTTCCACCAGGCATGGGGGAGACAGCAGAGCTGGGGCTGGCTGGGCCTGGGGGTGGAGTAGGCTGGGAGGCACGTCCTTCCATGCCCTTGTGAGCACATGCTGCCTTTCTCCCGTATCCCCCCAGAAAGCCTACATCTTTACCTTCCTGCTGAGCTCCCGCCTCTTCATCGAGCCCCAGGAGCTCCTGGCCCGGGTCTGCCACTTGTGCATCGAGCAGCAGCAGCTGGACAAGCCAGTGCTGGACAAGGTGAGAGGCAGGGCAGGGCCAGGGGCCTCCGAGTGTACTGGGTCTCCCCTGACATGCACTTGTGAATCAACATCTTGGAGAGGCAGCAATTGCTCCCGTTCTCCTGACAAGGAGCCCACAGGGGTTTCTGACTTGTCTGAAGCCCAGAGCCAGAAGGGACAGAGTCAGAACCTTTAACCCCAGTGCTGTTTTCCAATGCCCTAGGGGAGCCTTGAGCTCACACAGCCCAAACCTGGGCCCGCAGAGCCCCATGAGTAGATCCCCATCTGTGGCCTGGGATGGCCCTGCCGTGCCTGCTGGTCTCCCTGCCCCCAGCACCCTCTGTTCCACCCTTTCTTCTGCAGGTCCACTGTTGGCTCAGCCTTCCCTCGGTTCCCCGTATCCTTTCCTCTGTCCCTCGCCATATCCCATGGGCTACAACTGTCTATTTATACATGTGTCAGTAGGGTTCCGCTGTCCAGTGATAGAAACCCAGTTTCAACTGGCCTAAGGCAAAGGGACTTTACTGGCTCATATAACTGCAAAGTCTCAAGCTACCATTGGCTCCAGGGACTAAAACACCATTAAAACGTGGTCTTTCTCCCTAAGACCCCTTGCTTTGTTTACCTCTGGCCAGCCTCACTCTTGCTCAGGCAGGTTCTCTGTACAGTGACTGATGGCCTCCGCGGCTCCAGGGTCATGGTCTACCCTTCCCAATCCTGTGGAAAGAGGATCCTGATAAATAAAAGCCCCGATCTCATTGGCTTAGCTTAGGCCACATGCCCCTCTGTGAGCCAATCACAGTGCATGATGGGGGTGTGCCATGCCCTGATTGGCCAGCACTGATCTGGGCACACTCCTGGAGCCCTGGGTCAGGATCAGCTGGGAAGGATGGAGAGGGAGACCCCACAGGAAAACAGATGCTGTCACCACAGAAAGGGAGATGGGACGACTGGCAGTTACAAACAAGAGATGACCCCCATTCCAAACGTGTGTCTGTCCCCCTCTGCTCTGCTGTGGTCAGCCCCCATCCCCATGTCCCGTCTCTGTCTCCTGGCACAAAGTAGGCACGAGGCCCACCCCGCCTCGGCCATTGCTGCTGCCCCTCGGACAGCCCAGACGCGCAGTGAGTGGCTGAGACAGTGGCTGCTATGACCCCCACCTCCCAAGCAACCCTCACCAAATGCAGACGACCCTCGGATTGCCTTGCAGGCCCAGGTCCGGAAGTTTGGCCCCAAACTGCTCCAGTTGTTGGCCGAGTGGACAGAGACGTTCCCTCGGGACTTCCAGGAGGAGTCGACCATCAGTCACCTGAAGGATGTGGTGGGCCGCATCGCCCCCTGTGACGAGGTGGGCGAGCCAAGCGGGATTCTCTTCACCTTGTCTACACCCTCACACCCCAGATCTGAGCCTGTTCCTGGGATGGCCTCAGGGTCCTCATCTCCCCACCAGCACACTGCAGCCCCTCTAAAATCAGCCCCTTTCTGCCCCATCAGAGAATCAGGCACTGCAGAGCTGGCAGGGAGAGCAGGCCTCTGGTTCCAGGCCTGGTCTCTTGACCTTTCTCCTGTCCTGCTCTTATCAGTGGCATCAGATGGCAAGTGAAGGGCTCTTGTGGCTGCGTGGTCGGGCCATAGGTCAATGACCCATTAGGCTGGACTGGCAGAACCCTCTTCCCCAGTAGCTTGGGAGGCAGCCAGTGTATTGGGCATCTGGTGCTTCTGCGCCCCACACCCTGCCCTGCTCTCCCAGCTGCATTACTCTGGGGAAAGCACTTAAAGGTGAAAGAGGAACAAAACTCCCTACTCCCTACCTCCCAGGATTAGGGTGAGAACAATGAGGGGGAGTGCATGTTGCTTGCCTTGGGAGGAGACTGAATGCGGCAAGCTGACAGCTAGTGACATGCCCCACAGTGGGTCTGAACACAGAGCCAGCCAGAGCCAAAGGAGAACTGCCAAGGCAGGCTGGGCACCAGGTAGCTGTAAAGTCCAAGGCCTAACTGAGACTCAGAAAGGGATGCCCTGCCCTGATGTCATTTCACATAGCCAGCAAGTTAGTTGTTATGAGAGCTCGGTGAGATGAGGGTCATCTCCTCCTCCTCCTTTGCATCCCCTGATCCATCTGGGGATTATAAAACTTGGCTTAGGTTGCAGCAGAAAGGAGACTCAGGGAAGGCTCAATGATTGGATGGATCAGGAGGATGAAGCAGGAAGGGTAGATGCTGACTGACCGGCTTGGTACATAGTTGGCTACTTTGATGGATGAGTCGAGGGGGAAAGAAAGATGTTTGGGAAGTTGGGTAGGCAGGGAGATTTATGGGCTAAGTGGATGTGGAGAGATTGATGGAAAGAAGTGGAGGAGAAAGGTAGAAATGATAGCTAGATGAGTGGGTAGATGGATGACTAGATGGATGGGAGGGTGAGTGAATGGGTAGGTGGATGGGTGTGTGTGGGTATGGGTGGGTGGGTGAGAACATGGATGGGAAGGTGGGTGGGTGGATGGATGGATGGATGGATGGATGGACGGATGGTGGATGGATGGATGGGTGGGTGAGCGGATGGACGGTGGATGTATGTATGAATGGATGGATGGTGGATTGATGGTGATGGATGGATGGATGAATGGTGGATGCATGTATGAATGGATGGATGAGGGCAAATGTTAGACTGGAGGGAGGAAGGATAGATAAGTGAATTGATGGATCTGTGGGTGGGTGACTGTATAAAAGAGGAGGTGGGCAGTAACAGATGGGTGGGAAATAGATGGTTGCAGGGACGGTAGATGGATGGATGGATGGATGGATGGATGGAGCAGAGGGTATGTAGTGAGATGAGAGCCCAGTCCTCTGCTTTATCTCCCCCGCCACAGTAGGCCTTCAAGCAGGTGAGGTCTAAGCCATTGACAAGATGGATTATCTGCCCTTGTCAGGCCTGCCTCTGCCATTGGCAGAGCAATTTCAGAGGCAGACCCTGCCATTCTGGCCACGGTGGCGTGGGATGGGTGTAAGTCCTGGGCTTGTTTCCTTGAGAAGCAGTGCCTCCTCACTGAGCCCTCAAAAAATCTGTCAAGATGTGCCGGGAAATCTTTTCTAACTACCCAGTAGATGAAAATAATATACAGCCAAGACCTATGAATGGGCTATAGAAAGCAGCCATCCACCAGGTGTGGATTTTCAAAGCAGAAATAACTCATTCGGGGCATTTCTCATTCCTTCCCTTGGAATCCAATTAGGTGTGCTGAGTGGTGAGAACTGGACCTGGGATTCCCTAGTCTCCATGCCACCCGCCCAGGCTCAGGCCAGGGGTGCCCCATGTGTCTTTGTAATCCCCAAGTTGCCCTTCCCCAGAAAGCACCTGCTCCAAGGGGATGTCCTGTAGGTGCTGGTTTCCCTCCCCTGGATGCTGCAGGTGGACTGCAGGCTGCTCCCCTCCCAGCACAGGCACAGTCTCAGCTGGGAAAGGAGCTGGTGAGCCCTGAACCTAACTGATGAGGCAGGGCCCACAGCACTCAGAACATGAGGTCAGGGTCAGACCTTCTGAGCTCAGATCCCAGCTCAGAAACCACAGCTATGTGACTTTGGGCAAGGTGCTTCCCCTCTCTGAACTTCAGTTTCTTCATCAGTCAAACAGAGACGATAACTGCTCCCACCACACAGGTCTGCAGCAAAGGCCCTGAAGTCACGTGTGCTCGTACTTCAGCATTTGGTAAATGTGAGCTATGATGAGGAACAAATTCTTTCCAAAGTTCAGGCACATGGGGATTATTTTTAACTTTTTTGAAACTTTTGTTATGGAACATTTCAAACATATACAAACATAGATAATAGTAACCATGAACTTCTGTGTGCTCATAGCCTAGCTTCAACAATTATCAACATTTTGCCAAACTTGTTTCTTCTATCCCCTCACACACTTCCCCTCCCTCCAAATTATGTTTTTAAATCATAGGCATTATATCTTTTGCTCCAAAAACATTTCAGAATCATCTTGTAAAAGATTTCTTACACAGAGATAGGATCAAGATAGGATGATATAAAGTGTTGTGCATAATACAATGAGATGAACACAAGTGTTTTCAGAACTGCGTGTCTTTGGGCAAGTTACTTAACCTCTCTGGAACTTAAATTAATTTCTGTAAGAGGGAAGATGATAAGCCCTCCCTCAAAGGGCTGTGAGGAGAACAATGCTGCTCAGGAACGTGGAGGAGGTGGTACAGGGCCAGGAAGGAGTGGGGCTTCCCCATCAAAGTAGCTGTGAAAGGTGACACCTTTCTCTTTCTTCCTGCCCCCCTGCCATTTCCTGGAAGCCTCAGGTCCTCACTGTGCTCCCCACCACCTCTCAGTAACCAGGAACAAGGGGCTGGAACGGCTCTGGGAAGGCCATTCTCTATGACTGTGGGTTCTGTGCTGCTCCAGTCCACCCTCGGCTCCCATCCTGGTAGGTTGGGCTCAGCAGTTACAGCTCAGGAAGACCAATGCCGAGGCTGAGGGAGACTGGGGGATCACAGGAAGGCCTAGAGGGTCACAGCCCTGGTGAGGGAGACAGGACAGGAGGACAGCAGTGCCTTGACCACACCCACTGGGCTGGCCAGAGGAAGCTGACTGTACGGGCAGCCTTCCTCGCTCTGGCCTTGCTCTCCCACTCACATGGCTGTCTACTAGCTCCCGCCAAGGGCAAAGGTGGTGGACAGCTGACAGAGAACGAGCTGGCAGTGGGTGCAGAACTCCTGCCTGTGCAGGTGGGCTAAGCCCATTGGACATCAGCCGCGGGCTGGCTCAGGTGGGAGCTTTCAGGAACTTCAGAAAACAAGGGCCCGTACTTGTCTGGATGGAAATGGATCCTAATCACGAAACGCTCGGTCCAAGAGAACTTGGAGGCACCTGGAGAGCCATGGCCACCACCCAGGCCACGCTTGGATGGCGACCTCTACACTCACACTCGGCTCCGTGCATGCAGCAGGCAGCTCTGTGAGAATGACAGAGAAAACAGTCCAGTCCCCATCCTCCCAGCTCACGGGCGAGCCACTGGGGGAGAGCTGAGCCATGCTGGGTGCACCCTGGCGCTCAAATGTGGGCTCCTGACAGTGACAAGGAACACACTGGCGTTCTCAGCGGTAGGTCCCTGGGCCTGCCCGGATTCACTGAGATCTCCCAGACAGCGTCCACAAGGTGTAGAAATCAGTGAGAGAATGAGAGGAGGTCAAAGAGAAGGTCAAATACCTTCCCCACATTCAGAGGGGGAACAGAAGATTCAGGAAAAAAGCAACAGATAAGCTTGAGGTTAACACTAAAGGAAAATTTTTAAATGAATTAGCACGCAAGCAATGGCAATTGTTTGGAGTGAATATTGGTTCAATAGAAACAAGTCCTGCTAAATTGTCTGCATATTTTTAAAAATAGGGCCAGTGCCTGGTTCTATCAAACTGTAGCCACAGATGCACTTCATCCTTGACTTTAGTAGAGCTCTGAAGTCTGCCTTGGAGAGGCTGACTGTCTAGAAGCAGGTGAAGCCCAGTTTTATCTAATCAGCAAATATGTGTGGGCCCCTCCTGTTCATGCTGGGGACCAGCCTTTAGAGTGACCCAGTGTTGCCTTCATGGAGCTGGTACTCCAGTGAGAGGCTTGGACAAGGGCTGTGAAGGAAGGGCATGGAGCTTGGAGGGAGAAGGCTGTACAGGTCCTGCCTGGGTCATGGGGCAGGAGGGACAAGGGGTCAAAGGGATCGGGGAGTGGTCTGTGTCTGGAGCACAGAAAAGAGGAGCAAGGGCTACATGGAGGCCATTGAGCATGCCCAGAGCTGACCTCAGGGCCTCCCAGCCATGTCAGGTTTTCTGTCTTTGCAAAAGCAATTTGCAATTTAGGGAAGAAGTGTGCAGTGGTCACATGTGCATTTTGAACAGAACACTCTTGCTACAGGGTGGAATGGAGAGAGGTTGGCGTGAATGCATGGGGTCCACTGAGGAGGCCACTGCAGCCACCAGGGAAATGACTATGGCCTGGACCACATACACTGTGGTGGACGACAAGCACGGAAATGGAAGAAAGCAAAATCAAGAGGGTTGGTGATGGCCTGGAGGGCCTGAGGGAGAAGGTGGTTTGAGGATGGCTCCACGTCCAGGTGCCTGATGCCAGTGCTCCATTCAGCGGACAGGGATGCAGGTGGAAGAGGCAGCCCTGGGGAGGAGAGCATGACTTCTTGCATGCACCAGGTCCAGGTGGCCCGTTGCCCACATGGCTCTGGAGATCAGAGGAGAAGGTTGTCTGCACACGAATACTAAACGACACTCTGCACATGAACCAGAAAACCCAGGAATGAAGTACAGAGGATGGTGAAGAGAGGAATAGACAGAGGCAGGCGGAACCCAGCATGCAATCACAGTGCAGACAGACAAGCCTACAAACAGCCCAAGGCAGGAGAAACTGGGGAGCTGAGGCAGATGCTGCCTGAGAAACAGCCCCTGGCTTTCATGACAGGAGGTCCTTGGTGCCAGTGAGAGTTAGTCTGGTGACAGGAGAGGAGGCAGATGGGATGGTGGAGGGTTGAGTGGGAAATGCGGGATCTCAACAGCCAGTGTAGCCACCTCTGGGCTGGGTAGCAGAGAGAGGTGGGGGGCTGGTGGAGGTGTCGGGAATCACCAGTGACTGTGTCACCGGGGCTGGCTCTGACTGGACCTAACTCACCATCTTCCTGGCACTCAAATGAAGACCTGGGAGGCAGCATGTGTGCTGACCACACTTTTGGATACAGCAAAGCTGAGACGGGTTGTTCCTTCCACTGGCGACAAAGGGAAGACTTGGACCTCAGTTTACCCACACTAACCCAGCTAACCCATGGGTGCCTTCTGGGTCTGCCCCCCACGGCTCTGGGAGTTAGGGTTAGTGTTAGGGTTTGGGCTTGGGTTCGGGTTTCCTGTGTCCTGAAGGCTCTACCACAGCTGCCCTGGCCACTCCACAGAGAAGCACTTTCATAAGGGGCTGGGATGCCACCTCCATCACCAGAGCTCTGGGCACTAACAATGCTGGACCTCAGTGCTCCTTTGAGCCCCATCAGAGGCTTGAGAAAACTCTGAGGTCCCCCAGGCAAGCCCTACACCCTACGCCCCACCTGCAAAATGCCTCTGGGTTTGTGTGCATGAAGAATGTGCACTTTTTCTATCTGAAATTACCTGGCAGTACTGACTATCCACAACCTTCTTCTGAGGCCTCTGGGACCAGGCCCTGCTGGGAACCTGTCTTCCTGACACCTTGTTGTTGGCAGGAGTCCAGGCCCTGGATGCCCACTGCCACTTCCAGGCCAGCTCCTGGCTCAAGGGGGTTGAATCCACCTCTGGGGGAGCCATTTGCTGACCAGTCGGGGGCCTGTTCTGTGGGCTACTGACCAAACCTTTGGGAATGTGTGGACCACTTGCTCAGTAAACCCAGCTAGTCTGATGCACCTTCCTTGGAAATAGGGGTCTCTGAGGGGCAATAATCAGTTTCCCCATGGGGTGGGAGGGTGGTCCCTGCACCAAGCCCAGCATCTGAGCTGCATGGTGAGGGGCTCTGTCGGTACAGTAAATGCTTATCAAGTGTCCACTGCATGCCCAGAGCTATGACACAGAGAGGTTAACGCAGACTTCCCTGCCCCTGCCGAGCTGTCATTCTGCAGGGGAGTAAACAACCCCAATCATCTCCTGCAGGGGTCCCATAAGGAAGTCACACAGGGTGAGCTGGAGACAGAGTGCCAGGGGCAGAGGATGAACAGCAAGGCTGGTCAGGGAAAGCCTCTCTAAGCTAGGCCTGGGAGACAGGAGGGGACCCCCATTGAAGCCAAGCAAAAGACTAGCACCCAGGGCAGGGCCCATTCCACATCTCCCTCCTCTATCCCTCTACCCCCTGGCAGTCCCTACCCCATGCTGCCCCTCTCCCCAGACAGCTGGGGGGGCTTGCACCCAGCCACTCTCCCTAATGTGTGCTCTTCTTGGCTGCCACTGGTGATCCTGCAGCCTTCTCCCCAGCCAGCCTTGACTGTAGGCCCCAAACCCAGCCTGCCCTGGATTGGGTCCTATTTCAGGGTGGGGGAGGTGCAGGCACACCTAGGAGCAGCCCATCCCTGACAGCTGGGGAGCCTGCCTGCCTCAGCTATTAGATATGCGGAGACAGGTTTCCAGGCCTGAGCACCCTCTCTCTACCCTCCTCCAGGCATACCGAAAGAGGATGCATCAGCTCTTGCAGGCTCTGCACCAGAAGCTGGCAGCTCTGGGCCAGGGGCCGGAAAGCCTGCTGGGCGCTGACAAGCCCATCTCCTACAGGAACAAGCCTCCAGCCTCTATCCACAGGGAGCTCCTCAGCATCTGCAGTGACCCCTACACACTGGCTCAGCAGCTGACCCACATAGAGCTGGTGAGCAGGCCCACGCCGCCCTCCACTCAGACCCAGGGCCTGGGACACTGAAAATAGCCGGCCACCCCCCAACTCCCCGTCTTGTACCCCACCTGGTCTCAGCCTAACCCAGGGCCTGAGCCCATCACATCAGGGCCACCCAGGCATCTCCTGAGGACCCTGACTCTGGAGCAGTCTCTCACCACACCTGGGGCGAGGAACAGGAAGGCTGGAGGTACCAGCCCTGCCCAACTTTGACCTCTGGCCTGCCTGAGAGTCCAGGCCTGGGACAGAGGAACTAGGTTCAGATCCTGGCTCTGACACCACCTGATGTGTGATCCTCCCACATCCAAGGCCTTCCCCACCCGGGCCTCAGTTTCCCCCATCCAGGACTCACACAGTCACACTGTACCCACCCCAGCTTTCCAGAGAAGCGCAGACAGGCCTTCCTGTGTGTGAAAGGGATGCCCTGGCCTAACCTCCAGTATATTGGGCTCCTTGTAGATGCAGAGGCCAAAGGGGCCTGCCCCAGAGAGAAGGGAAGCTGGGGAGTAGGGTTCTTTTCTTTTAAACCTCCATCATTTATGGCACCCTTACTGGTTTCCAGGCATTATATTCAAGAGTTACGTGCACTATCTCATCTTCCCACCACCTTACCAGATAGGTGCTATTATTATTGTCTTTTCACGGTTGAGGAAGCTAAAGCCAGAGTGTTTAAGTGACTTGCCAGAAGTCACACAGCAGAAGGGACAGAGCCAGGATTCAATTCTGACCCAGACCCCATGCTCTTAGCCACCAGGCCTACCCTGGAGGGAGCAGGTCATTTCAATTACCCGATTTCGAACCTGGTTTCCTAGGTATCACACCCTACAAGCACTCCCTATGGAGACATTGACCCCTGCCCCCATGAAATACAGCTGCCCCTGAGCATGGGAAAGGAGGGGCTGCCCCCTTCAAGATGGTGCTAAGCTCTGTGACAACCCAGAACAGGGCTGTAGAGGCCCGGTGAGAAGGGCAGCTGGGCCCATGCCAGGCCCCCAGGGAGCATCCCTTCCCCATACATTTCCCATTTTCCCAACTCCTTTTCTGTCTCTGGTGCAGGAACGGCTACAACACATTGGACCTGAGGAATTTGTCCAGGCTTTTGTGAACAAGGACCCTCTGGCCAGCACAAAGGTAGAAGGCCCTTGGACGGACTGTCCCAGCAGTGACCCCTACTCACCGGTCCCTCTGGGGGATCCCCGGAGCATCAGCTGAGCAAGCTTCGGAGGGACCAAGGGCAGATGGGCTTGGAGGGGTCGTGCCCACTCCACCCATGCCCCTAGCCCAAGGCCATCACACCCCAGCAGCCCTGAGTCCTGGGGAAGCCTGGGAGGGCGGGATGAGCCTGGCCGGGTCACCCACCCAGCGAGGGCGGAGTGGCGGTCGAGGAGCAGAAGCCCTGGGTGGGTTAGAGGGTAGAGGTTCCCACGGGCCCTCTCCAAGACCCCATGTGCCCTCCCGGTGCTTTGCGGTGGGCGCTGATGCCCTCTAGCGGCCACCCGGGGTGACGCGGGCTGGTGCCAGCTGCCCAGGGAAGTTAAGGGCATGCTCTTCCCTCTGAAGGTGGAATTTCAGAGCCTGCCCCTCTCTCTCAGAGCCCAACCAGCAGTTAGCCTGGTGCTTATCAAGGAGTTAAATCCGAACCAGAACTGGAAATATCCTGTCTTCTGCCCTGGCACCTAATAAAAGAAGAGAAAACTGAATATGCAATTGCATTTCACCTCTCGGATAAGCAAAGATTAAACATTATGGGTGTGTATGTGCAGGGAAAGGGACCGTCTCATACAGGGCTGGTAAGGGGTAAAATTGGCACAGCCACTTTGGAGAGCAGCATGGCAATAGCATCAACACTTGAAATATACACTCTGGACCCCAACTTTCCACACCTAACAATTTACCCTGCAGATATACACACACATGTACACAAAGATGTATGCACAAAGATATTTGGGATATCTTTCTGTGCTTTATGACCAAAGGCTGGAAGCAAGCTACCTTACCATCCACAGGGACTTGATTAAACATTATAATACATCCATACATAGAATGCTATGCAACTATTAGAATAAAAGCGACTGTAAGAATGGAATAATCACCAAAGGTCCATTGTTGAGAAAAGAGAGTAAAGTGAAGAGCAGTGGCAAAGAGTATGTGACCATCTGTGTAACAACAACAGATAGGAGGGTGCATGATACATATCCCCTTGCACATGCGTGTGGACAATCTCTAGGAATACTGGTTACTCTGGGGAGCCCAGCATGGAGCTGGGAGAAGAGTGGAAAGGAGACTTTGCTACTCTTATTGAGTTGTTTGTTGTTCTGTTTTGTTTTGTTTGGGGGTTTGGCCCTTTCCAAGTATTATTTTTTATTGTGAAATACATCAAGATTGCACGTGACATTTCTTTACCCACTCTACTGTAGATGAACATTTTTGTGTTGTTTCTGGACTCTTGGCTATTGTAGATATTGCTGCTATGAACATTCTTACACATTTCTAATGTATGTGGGTACATTTTTTCTAGGGCACCAGTTCTCAAATGTTTTGGTCTCAAGATGCCTTTTTCACTCTTAAAAATTATGGAGGACCCCAAAGAACTTTTGATTATGTACTAATACTATCTACCGGTATTTATTCTATTAGCCATTAAAGCCAATAACTTTTTAAAATATTTATTTATTCAAAAATCATAACTCATTATATGTTAATGTAAGTTTTATGAAAAATAACTCTATTTTCCAAAATAAAAAAAATTAATGATAAGAGTGATATTGTTTTACAGTATTTTTACAAATCTCTTTAATGACTGACAATAGAAGGCAGTTGAATTCTCTTAATCTACTTCTGCATTCAATCTCTTGACCTAACATTTTTTGGGTTTAAAATCCATCCTCACACAAATATGTAGTTGGAAAAGAGAGGCATACATTACAGCCTTTTCAGATAATTGTGAATATTCTTCTTTGATAGTACACTAAAACTCAACAAGGGGTAATGTTTTAAGATCAACTGCAATTTGGAATCTGAAAATAAACTCTATCACTTTAAAATTCATTGGTCCATCTTGCATCTTGAATGGATCTTTTTGCCCATGCAGGATTTTGTGACATATATTGTCCATTTGGAAAATATGGGTTCACTGAATCAAGCAGACCTTCTGAATGTTGGCATGTTTCATTATATGATATTTTAAAATGATATTCATTCATGAAATTATATATATTCACTACTGATATCACCCAAAAAGTTCTTAAGTATTGGGAAGCTGTCAAGCTCCACAGGCAGATACATGTTTTATAAGTTCCCAATTTTCTCTTGAAAACTTGAATTTTATCCTTGGCAACGAATACTATCAGTTGTTTTCCTTGAAGTTACAGGCTCATTTTGTTGATTTTCAAGGAAATATCAACCAAATACTGAAGTCTGAGTAACCATAATGGGTCAGTCCTTCTCTCAGGTAAAAATAGTGCTCCATGAGTAAAGTTCAGCTCACAAGTCAGTCACACCAGTGCTTTTCCGCAAGACCACCATCAAAACTCTGTGTGCAGCAGAAGTGCCTATGTCTACAGTCCTCCCTTCGTATCTGTAGGTTCTGCAGCTGCAGATTCCACCAGCCTCAGATCAAAAATATTAGAAAAAATTAAAACTCCAGAAAGTTCTAAATAGCAAAACTTGAATTTACTGCTCACCCAAGCAACTATTTACATAGTATTTACATTGTATTAGGTATTATAAGTAATCTAGAGATGATTTAAAGTACACGGGAGGATGTGCACAGGTTTATGCAAATACTACGCCATTTTACATATGGAACTTGAGCATCCTCTGATTTTGGTATCTGAGGGGGGAGGTGGAACCATTCCCACCCCAAAGATACCGAGGGACAACTGCACTCCCATTTTGTCACATAGAACATGAAAAAGACATGTACTCAAGGGTTGAGATTTAATAAAACTGAAAAGTTTTGTGTCCTCAAGGACATTCTTAGTCACACTCACTTTTTTTCTTTTACTGTGAGTGTGTGGTAGTGAAGACCACAATGGCCACTGGTGTCATTTGGTGACTCTGTCTCGATTCAGGCTAAGGTGGCAGCAATTTTACCCATCATTCTATTATGCATTGGTACAAATGTCAACATGGTGAAGGGCAATAATCTATGAATATGAAATTAGGTTTGCCCTTGTGGACCCCCTGAAATGGTCTCAGGGACCCCCAGGAGTCCATGGACAACACTTTGAGATGTTGCTCTAATATATACCTACAAAGGGAGTCACTGTGTCCGTCACAGGGTGGGTATATGATTAACCTTACCAGGTGATGCCAGGTGAGGCTGTATCCACTTACACTGCCAGCAGGGAGTTATTCTTGCTCCACAGCCTCACTGACGCTTGAAATTGTCAGGCTTTTTAATTTTTGTCAAACTGTTAAATGGAGCATCTTTTCATGTGTTTTGGACATTCTTGTTTTCTCGTCTATGAAATGCCTGCCCCTGATTTTTGTTCGGTTTTCTATTGGTGATTTGTCTTTTTCTTAAGGATTTTTAAGAGTTTTGTGTGAGTTTTTAAAATGTGTACTAGTTGATTATCCCTTGTCAGTTAGATGTACTGCAAATTTTCTTCTCCTAGTTGGTTGCTTTGCTTTTCGTTCTCATTATTGTGTCTTTTAACGAACAAGTATTCTTAATTTCCTCCTTATAAGGAATTTACCTCTCTGGATTATTTTTGCCTCCATATTTTGAAGCTATGCTATTAGGTGCAGACAAATTTAGACTCATGACATATTCTCAATAAATCAAAACTTTTATCTTTATGCAGTTACCCTTTAAACTCTCTTAATGCTTCTTGCCTTGGAGTCCTTTTTTGCCTTAAAGTCTATTTTGTCTAATACTAATATAGCTATGTGATGATAAATATCACATAAATATTTATCACGTGTATTTTTCAATTTTTTTACTTATATCCTTGGGTTTGGGGTGTACCTCTTGAAAATAGCAGAAGGCTGGATTTTTAAAATTACAGTGACTGGTCTATATCAGGGTAATTACTGCTCTAGATGCATTTGTTTTTACTGTCTTCTGTTGTACCTTGTCTTCTTTACCTCTTGTGCTTCTTTTTTTCCTTCTTTCTTTACTTCCTTTGGATTCTCTGGAATTGTAGTACATTTATACAGTGGAATAGTCTACATCAATCTTTAAAATTATGTTTCCAAAGAATATTTTATAGCACATGAAAGGGTTCATGTAGAAAAATGTGGGAATATATATAGAATATAGAGATAGAGATAGAAACATACATACCCACATACATACATAAATACATATGGTTGGTCCTCATTATTCACCATCTTTATATCCTATAGTCGTTGTGAACACTGAATTAGCAAATACTGAGCCATTACTCCTGGGGAAAACATAGGGTTAGGCTCCTTGCAAGCCTTTCATCACAACATTTTCATCAACCAGTCAATATATAACCTTGATTTATGTGTGTTTCTGTTTAATGAGACCTTATTTAATATATGTTGTTGATTCAATAACATTGAACTCATGGCCAACAGCACTGTGACTCACGTCTGAATGAAGCTTATCTAACACATATTTTTTTCCTTAGGGCACGTCACAACCTTCATGTGCTTAGGAATACAAGACAGCATGGCAGCGCTGTGCTTGGGACCACTTTAAACAGTGAAATCACCAAGAAAAAGCACAAAAGTGCCACACACAAAAAAAAAAGACACTAAATAGACTACAAAAAGGACACTTGTTTACAGTATGGGAGCTGAAAACAGAAGTCAGGGCATCAGCTCAACCTCAGCTGTGAACACACAGGTGCATTGGGTGACTCAAATGTTCTGCCACTCTGCACATGTCCACAAATGACCAAGAAGTGACATGAGTGTTATTTGGGGGGGTTACAAATGAAATTTTAGGAAGTAGACAGATTCGCAAACACAAAATCTGTGAATAATGAGGATTAATTGTGTGTGTGGGTATATGATATATATATCATATAGATATATATGATATCATATAGAAGAAAAGACTAGAAGGATACATGTCAAATCATGTATTTTTGGATGGTTTTGAGATATTTGTGGATGGTTTTGAGGTTGCAACATTTCCCAGACTGTCTATAATGATCATGGCTGACTTCAAAAAGTTATTCGTGTTCAAAAAGTTATTGACAAAAAGCCTGAGCATGGTCCTTGTGTCTTTCCTAGCCTTGTTTCAGTGACAAGACTAACAACCTGGAAGCTTACGTGAAATGGTTCAACAGATTGTGCTACCTCGTGGCTACTGAGATCTGCATGGTGCGTAGGAAGCCAAGGCCTGACCTGGCATGGCCAAAGGTGGCCAGGGCTTGAGAGGAGCCTTCTTGGGAGGGAACCAGAAGAGCATCATGAGCCTGTCTCCAAGCCCAGGGCCAGGCTGGGCATGCTCTGGGACACCGGGTGTCACCCAGCTTGCCTGTAGTGATATCTCCCCTCTGGGTAGAGCCTGGCAAACCCCCGTCTTAGCTGCCAGGCCAGTGATGCGGTGGATCCTGGCGTGCCGGTGGATCCTGCCTGGCGTGGATCCACCTGCCAGTCACAGAGGGTGTCAGAGAGATGCTTGCTGAGGGAGAGAGGGGCGGGCTCTGCTTCTTCCACCTGTTCCTGGGGCGGACTGGTCTGGCCTGCAGACAAATTCCATTTGGCTCACTCAGGACTTAGAGGTAGAAATAATCTAACCTTTAAGAAGTGGGAGATTGCACTTTAAAGTCCAGGTCTCTGGCTTCTCCTGGAAAGCAGGAAGACCAGGCAACACTGAGCTGGACATGCTCGCCACCGGGTCTCAGCCCCGCCAAGCCAGACCCTGCCCACCTTCTTCTCTTCCTTATGGCAGTGGAACCCTCTCCCAAGCCCATTCTCCCACTGTCAGGTGAAGCCCAAGGTCCCCCATCTCAGGGGAAGATTGGAGGCAGCATATGTGCCAGGGTGGGCTCTCTGGAAGCAGACACTGAGACAGAGCTTGGGGCATAAGGTGTTTATGAGGGGTCTGCGACCGAGAAAGGAGAAGCTCATCTGTGATACCTCAGCCTGAGACAGTGCTTCCTGTCAGAGTGCCCACATCCACCCTAGTAGTTGGCCCTGATCCCCCACCTTGCTCGGTCACCATCACCATCCCCGTGTGGGCTGTCCCATGAAAGGGCAGGACCTCAGGCAGGCAGCTCTCGGAAGGGATTTTGGATGCACAGCTCCTCAGACACCACAGCAAGCTTCTTGGCAGCAGTAAGGACCACTTCTGCAATTATGGGAGGAGGGCAACCTACGTGGAAAGAACACTGTAGGGTTCCTTGGGCCTTGCCTGCTTCTGACACCGCATCACTGGCCTGGCAGCTAAGACGGGGGTTTGCCTGAGTGAAGCCTGGACAGAGCCCACCCCAGAGTCAGGCAGCGCTTCAGCCTGGGAGAGGACACAGTTTGGTTCTGACCCATCAGAGAGATCAAAGTCTCACGCACTCGACTCGAGCTGGGGTTGAAATCACCGTCAGTCGACAGAAAGCATTGGCGGGGCTGCTACGGGACAGGGCCTCAGGGTCACCGTGGGGCCCCCGCACCCCGTGTGAAGTGGAGAAGTTTGGTGCTGGGAAGAGAGGTGAGGGAGTCATGTTTTCTGCTTCTAGGTGTAGGGGTGCTGGAGCTAGGCCTGAGAGGGCAGGAGGACATGTGGGGGCCCCCAGCACCTCCCATGCTGCAGGTGGCTCCTGTGTGGCAACAGGAGTCCCGCCAGCCCCCATCCGGCCCTCCATGGCAATGAGCTCTGTGCTAGCTCCACCCGGGGTGCACTGAGAGCCTCAGTCCCTGGGCTACAAATTGCTTTGGCATCAAGCATCTCAGCTGTGAAATGGGCTTAAAGAAGATTAATGAGGGATAGGACAGGTAAGCAGGGTGTGTGGTCAGGGCAGGGTGGGGACACCTCATCACTGAGGCTCATATGCCCTGTCCCCAGCCGTCCAAGAAGAAACAGAGGGCCCAGGTGATTGAGTTCTTCATCGACGTAGCCCGTGAGTGCTTCAACATCGGCAACTTCAACTCCCTAATGGCCATCATCTGTGAGTGGGCCGGCCAGGCCTGGAGCCCCTGGTGCAAGTGCTCCCAGAGAGGGTGGAGTGGGCACACCCAGGCAGGTGGGGTGCAAGCTACCTGAGCAGGGGGTGGGTGCAGGCTGGGCCCATGTTCCCCCCACCCCACCCCAAAGGTCCTGGGGAGGTGCCCCTTTTGAGGCAAGCCCAGGGCTTTCAGGGTGCTTGATGAGAGCTTGGCAGTGTGTCCCCAGAACCAGGGAAAGCAGGGGCCCAAAGCAGGCCCCTGGTCACAGTATAGGGCCAGTGTGGGACAGGGACTGGGACAGGGGCCCTGCACATACAGAAGCCAGGCCTACCTGTACACAGTGTCCATTAGCACCCACCCACCCTCCATCTGGCAGGCTGAGGCCCCACAAACATCAGCCCTGGTCAGGGTGCAGCCTGAGGGGCTAGGCCAGCGGGGGGCCTCACAGAGGGACTATGCAGCTCAGAACAGTCCTCCCAGCCTGGCCCTGCCCCCAGCTCAGCCTTCCCTCTTTCAGCTGGCATGAACATGAGCCCTGTCTCAAGACTGAAGAAGACCTGGGCCAAAGTGAAGACAGCCAAGTTTTTCATCCTCGAGGTAAGCAAGGCTGCTGGGCTGCTGGGTGCCACCAGCCATCCCCAGGACACAGTTGCCCAAATGCCTCCCTATCTCCTTCCAGCACCAGATGGACCCAACAGGGAATTTCTGCAACTATAGAACAGCCCTGCGTGGGGCAGCCCACCGCTCCCTGACCGCCCACAGCAGCCGAGAGAAGGTAGGTCAGAGGCTTGCCCAGCCCTCAGAGCCCCTCCCTGCTCCAGACCACCTAGGCCCAGGTGGGGTGGTGACTTGAAGGTCATCTGGTCCAATCCCCTGCCCTTCTGCACCATCTATAATAAGAGAGTCGTGTCACCTTGCTCGCATGCCTCCAGTATAGGGAACTCACCACCTCCCCAAATAGATCAACCCACCCCCCAGCAGCTCTAACTGGTAGCAAGTGCTGCCTTGTGGGGTTGTGCCAGCCACCTGGGGCTGTCCTCTCCAGAGGGCCACACAGAGTAAGGCCATTCCCTCTTCCAGCCACCAGTCCTTCTGAGCCCCAGGCCCCGCCTCCCTCTCTCCTCCTGAGTCAGCAGCCCCACGCCTGCCCTGCCATGCTGTGGTCTCCAGTTCCCTCCCCTCTTGGGCCCCTTTGTTCTCTGAACAGCTCCATTTGTCAGGGTCCCTCTGTTTCAGATCAAATTGTGGTTCCAAGTACATAGGGTCTTACACCTCCTTATCCTAAAGGCAATACCTTCATTGATGTGGCCTCAGATCACATTTATGTTTTTGGAAATGACTAAACCAAAATTCTGTGGCTTCTTGCCACAGAATTGCATTTTCACAGATCTTGTTCTTATACATTTGCATTTGGAGGGCATTTGGTCATCCTGATCCATTTTGTTTCTCCTCCAAATTCTCCTAGTGGCCTCTGATACAAGAAACCATCACAGGCCCTGGGATTGCCATGATCCGCCAGCTTAAAACCTGTCACCAGCTTGATGATTAGAGTCGTTCATCTCCATGGGGAGAAAACAGCAAAACTTGCTGTGCCTTTTCAGTCTGCTCTCTTCCAGGAACATTGGTGGAATCAGGGCCCCACCATAGTTTGTGGAAGTTGCTTCCAGCTTACGGGATAATAGAACCAGTTGCTGTTCTTGAAATTCGAAGTGACTCTGTGATTGTATTGGATGCATATGTGGTCGGGTTTGGGGAGCAGGCTGAGATATGCATGCTCGTGCAACCCACCAGGCCTTCCCAGCCTCCTCCCCACAGAGCACAGATTATGCGCAGACCCAGGCCACACTGTTGGCCATGTCCTGTCCAGCTGGCCCTTCCTGTTCAGGCTGTCAGCACTTCAGCAATGCTGGGTCCCGGGGAGCCTGGTGCAGGGGTGCAGCACTCAGCAAGGCATGTCCTCAAGTCCCAGGGCAGGTGAGCCTGTCCCCCGGGAGCCAGGAAGCTGGAAAACCAGGGCAGCAGGGGCACTCTCGCTTCACTGAGCACCCACCGCATGAGGGCCACTTGACCACCATCTCCCAATTTAATTCTGACAACTATTCCATGGGGTAGACTTCAGCATTGCCACTTTCTGCATTAGAAGACTGATTCTCAGAGAGGAGCCCTCACTAGCCAAGTCACTCAGTAAGTAGGCGGCAGAGCCAGGAATCAGACTCTAAGTCTCCCAGTCTTTCCTACCTTCCGTCCTCGGGGCACAGGTACCATGTGGCAGTCACAGGGGTACTGGTTTCTGGCCCAGGAGTTGGACTGTGGGTGGGATGCCTAGAGGAGGCTGCAGCCTTTGGACTGAGGTGTCAGTCACAGCACTGGTGCTCTGCACTGTTTTCCTTCTACCCTGAGAGCAGAGTGAACAAACTGGGACTTTGTGCTCCTGCTCCCTGCACCCCTTCTAGCTCTGGGGTGCTGGGACGCTGTGCATTTAGGTCTGGGGCTATAGGTGGGAGACTGACAGAGCTGTGCACTTAGTTTCACTGCATTCTCCTCTAACTTCCAGGGAGTTATGGACCATGGGCTAGACCCACAGAAGCTCCTTCATGAATGGATGGAAGGTTGGAGGACAGATGGACGGATAGATGGATGGATGGAAGAATGGATGGAAGGAAGGATAGATAGATGGATGGAAGTGTGCAAGGAAGGGAGGAAGGAAAGATAGAAGAATGGAAGGCTGGAGGTTGGAAGGAAAAAAAGAGGGAGGGAGGGTGGGAGGGAAGGAAAGAGGGAGGAAATGAAGTAGGGAAGGAGGGAAAGAAGCTTGCAGATGCTCTCGCAGTCTCCCAGTGCCCCCAGCTGAAACTTTGAGGCCAGGAGGTCACTTTGTGTTTTCTTCCTGCCTATGGCTGGCTCCTGTCTGCCCCTCACTCTCCCCTAGTCTCTGTGACAAAGCACCCTCCACACAGGCTTCTCTGGGTGCCCTCCAGGTTGAGCTGGGTTCTGAGGGAAATGCTCAGGTCCAGAAAACAATGGCCCAGGTTTACAGTCATGTGGACAGACAGAAGTAGTGAAAAATTCTCACACATGGGAAATGCTGCCACCCAGAGGACCACTTCAATGGCCCTGCCACCAGGAAACCTGCACCAGGCCCATGAGGAGCCATCTCTGTCCCCAGAGTCCCACAGCCCTTAATCCCCACCCCTGCCCGTCTCAGTGGGTCTCCCCATTCCAACTCAATTCAGCCATCATGCACAAGAACTGGACCAGGGACTCAGCACCAGTGTGGGTGGTGGGAGATGGATTGAGACCACCCTCCCTCTTGGCACAGTGAGGAAGAAGACAGGACAGGGGCTCTGGAGCAGAGTCCTAGTCCTGCATCCACTACTTACTGTTGTGTGAGCTTCTATGAGTTACTTAACCTGTCTGAGTCTCAGCTTCCTCATCTGTGAGGTGGGGTCATAAAAGCCCTATTTCACAGGACAGTGATGAGGATGAAACATGATCTCATGTGTATATACCTCAGCACACTGAAGGACTCAGGCCCACCACCGATGCCCCGGTGACAAGGGCGTAAGTGGAGACACTCTTTGAGAGCACAGCAAGGGACTAAAGCCAGTGTGGGGGAAGCCAAGATGAGGCTTCCTTGTTTTGTAGGTTGTTCCCTTGACTGTCTCCCACTATACTGGGATCAGGAATGAATGTGTGTGACACACTCTCACTGTCCCCCAAGCCCTGGCACCTAGCATAGAGAAGACATGAGCAAATGTTTGTGGAAGTGACATAAATCTAGGGTGACCAGTTCATCCCAGTTTGCCTAGGACTGCCCCAGGTTTAGTATCACAAGTCCTGCATCCCAGGAAACCACTCAGTTGTGGAAAAACCCTGCTAAACCTGGCTCTGGTCCTGGCCCTGGTGATCACTAGCTGGATGACCTGGTGCCAGGCCCTGCCACTCTATGGACCTTGGTTTCCCCATCTGCCCCGCCCAGCTGAGCCATCCATGCTTCTATGCTGTGCCGAGTGGTCAGTGCCTAGGTCCTCACATCAAAGCCCTTGTCAGCTTGGTTGGGGAATGACCTAGGCAGTCCCTGAGCCAGAAGTGTCAGGGCCTGGTGCCCGGGCCTAAGGGTGATGGGCTGGAAGCTGGCACTAGCTGGCCTGGCCACATGTGCCCAGCTCTGGAGCCTAAGGGCAGAGCAGATGTGTTAGTTTCCTGGGCTGACATAACAAAGCACATAAACTAGGTAGCTTAGAACAGCAGAAATGTATTCTCTTACAGTTCTGGAGGCCAGAGGCCAAAATCAAGGTTGGAAGGGCCATGCTCCCTCCAAAGACTCTAGGGGAGGATTCTTCTTTGCCTCTTCCAGCTTCTGATGGCCATAGGCACTCCTTGGCTAGTGGCCGCATCATTCCCATCTCTGTCTCTGTTGTCACATGACTACCTTCCCAGTGTGTGTCCAAATTTCCCTCTTTTTATAAAAATACCAGCCCACCTAATCCATGTGACCTCATCTCCATTTGATTCCATCCATAGCAAAGACCCTATCTCCAAATAAGTTCCCATTCATAGGCACTGGGGGGTTTAGGACATTAACATAACTTTTTTTTTCTTTCTATTTTTGGCTGCATTGGGTCTTTGTTGCTGCACACGGGCTTCCTCTAGTTGTGGCGAGTGGGGGCTACTCTTCGTTGTGGTGCACGGGCTTCTCTTGTGGTGGAGCACGGGCTCTAGGCCCGTGGGCTTCAGTAGTTGTAGCAGTTGGCTTCAGTAGGCTTCAGCAGTTGTGGCTTGCAGACTCTAGAGCATAGGCTCAGTAGTTTTGGCACACAGGCTTAGTTGCTCCGTGTCATGTGGGATCTTCCCGGACCAGGGATCGAACCTGTGTCCCCTGCATTGGCAGGCGGATTCTTAACCACTGCACCACCAGGGAAGTCCTTGAACATAACTTTTTGAGGGACACAGTTTAACCCACACACAAGGTAGACCCAGCTGGCTCCCCAAGAGTAGTCTGAGCTGTCACCAGTTGGACTCCTTTCTCTAGGGGTTAGCAGGTATGGAACAAGGAGGGAGAAACAAGACATCTGACAGTGAAACACAGAGACCCCATCCTTCTCAGGCTGAGCACATAAGCCTGTCCCTTCAGGAACCAGAGTAGGGATGCTTTCAGCCTTACCATAGTGCAGCAGCATCAGATCTTTCGCATCAAGAAAGACATAGAATGGCAAATTGTTAAATGTATATTTTTAAAAGAGGCCACAGAATTTCACAGCAGATAATTCACATTCCATTAGCATATTTTTTGATTCATAAAACCAAAACGTTAAAAAAATATTTTTCTATTTCAGTATATTTATTCTTTTCTAAAATTTTTATTTTATATTTAAGTGTGCTCGGCACACTCCATTCCTCCTGGGGCACATGAGTCAGGAGACCTAAGTCTGTGGACCCCTGGACTGTGGGGAGAAGCTCCCATTGGCCTTTCCCAACAGACGATGGGAGAAACGTTCAAAGGCCACTGAAACTATGCATCTTTCACCCAGCCCCAACAGGAAGGGGAATGGCATTGTATACAGTAGGAGCTCAATCAGCACTGCACTGGGGTCTGGTGGGACCTGGAAAGAAATGGTCTGGCCCTAGTTTGTGCCTCCTTTCTTTGTGGTTTCCACATTGCTCCCCATGGTCCGTACTACGTAGCCTGTGGCCCATGAAGCCCTGAGGCTGGCCAGCCTTGCCCAGGTGGGAAGTCTCTCCCACCTTCTGCATCCTGGTGTTGTATCTGAGGTCCCTGGGGCAGGTGGCTGCTGGCAAGGCTGCCTCTCTCCTATGCAGCCACTGTGGGGAGGCCAACTGAGGGCTGATCTGCACCCTCTCCCTTCCAGATTGTCATCCCCTTCTTCAGCCTGCTCATCAAAGACATCTACTTCCTAAACGAAGGCTGTGCCAACCGCCTCCCCAATGGACACGTCAACTTTGAGGTAGGGTCCAGGGGCCTTGGAGGGCCTGCCACCTAAGCAGGCTGATAAAAGCTCCCAGAGCAGGAGTTCTGGCCCTGAATGGTTGGATTAAAGGAGGACTCCGAGGCAGAGTGCAGCAGTTTGCAGCCAACATCAGAGTGGGATTATTGGGGTCTCCCCACATCTTCCATAGGAAGAGACTGAGGCTCATGAAGGCATTGACCCCCACTCTGTGCAGGCCTCGTGTCTAGCACAGGTGAAGTAGCATCATTTTCAGTCCTTAAGGAGCCCCAGGCTGGCAAGAAAGACAGCCCTGCAGACCCACAGTGACAATTGACATGGTGCTGTGACAGGAGCTGCACAGGGGCACAGTTCACGGTCAGGAGAGGCCTTCCGAAGGAGGAGCCCTTAGCAACAGGAGGAAGTGTCAGGCAGAGTGGGAAGGAGAGAAAGACTTCCTCTCCCTCTGCAGACACTCATCACTGTCAGCTCAAATGTTCCCTCTTCCAGGAAGTTCCCCTTGACCTCACAGGAGGAGAGAGGCCCATTCTATAGCGGGCTATTATCCCTCAGTCACAGCACCCAAGTCCCCAAGCTCTTTAGAAGCAAGGCCAGGCTGATCCACTCCATGTCTCAACCCCACATACAAGCTTACCCAGCATGTACGTCTCGAAGTGGCTGGTGGGCTAGGCATGGGGAGGGGGAGGAATGGGGCCCAGGAGCCCCAAGGGCACAGGATGGTGACAGCAGATGGTCACTGAGTCAGACAGAGCATGCCATGAGCAGTGGTACCCCCCCAATCCACAGGAAAGAAGGGGCTCTTCTCCTGTGAGAGGGCCAGCCCTACCCTACTGCTTGCCCCACTCAGCCTCCAGCTCCAAGGGACACCAGTCCTGGGCCAGCCCCTCACTCTGTCCAAGTCTCAGTCTCTCCTTCTGTGAAACAGGGCTGCCACCATGACCACACAGAGTGGCTAGGAGGAGTGGACATGCCACATGGTCCGCCAAAGGCTCTGCACGTGTCTCCTGCTGACAGGGCCCACAATGAATGCCTGGGCCCTTTGGCCTGGAGCTGCCTCTGCTGTGGGGCTTCACATGGACACCCCAGCAGACCTTCACATGCTGCCCACAGGTCTGGTTACCCCTAGGGGCCGGCATAGCTGGAGGAAGCCCAGTCCAGCAGGATGCCTGGGCTCTGCATCCCAGGGGGCAGTCCAGGCTGGAGGCGACATGGAAGAGGCTGGGCTTGGGAGAGACTGCAGGGGCCAAGGGGGCCTGGGAGTTCACTCTCCAGTTGGTCCCAACGCACACTCTGTCTCTTGCCTTTCTTGAATTGGTCCTCAGAATCAAGGCCTGGGCGGAAGGATGGGCGGGGGAGCAGTGAGGGGCAAGAAGACAGGTACTCATGTGGCCCCAGATACTGGGGCATGGGCAGTGGGGACTGGGGGCAGACACCAAGGCTGATCAAAGAATGCCACAGAGTGGGGTTCTCACCCAGTCACAGCTTTGTATTTAAAATCCTGCTTTAAGTTAGCAGTTTTTAAAATCTTAAATAAATGTACTTAAATTTTACTCAATTAAAATTCTACTTAAATGAATTAAATTTTATTTAAATACATTTATTTAAATGTATTTGCCTCATTCTCTATGTAAACAAAGTTGCTGTAAGTAGGGATATATCTCTTGCCATTAGTTGAGATAACCACAAAAATAAACAGAATGAAACTAAAGTAATAGTCACCTCTAGCTAAATGCACTGCCTGCTGATGGCATAGCCCAAGGCTGCTCTCTCGCCATGACAAGGGGGACAGGTGAACCCTAGGTGCTGGGCATAGCAAATTCTTCAGAGAGAATGAAGAGATGTGACAAACGTCCAGATTTCCTGATGGGTGATTCCATCATTTTTCTGCCCCGTGTCCCACCTTGCCCACCCTAGAGGCAGGCCTCACTGGGGATGATGAGAGACACTGGGCCAGGGCCGGCCCCATTGTCACAGGTGACCTCCAGGCACTCAGGGTGCATCATTTTGTGTCTCTGTGTCCCTGGCAGAAATTTCTGGAGCTGGCCAAGCAAGTAGGAGAGTTCATCACATGGAAACAAGTGGAGTGTCCCTTCGAGCAAGACCCCAGCATCACCCACTACCTGCACACTGCTCCCATCTTCAGCGAGGATGGTAAGGTGGCCCCATGGCCTCCCTGACCCCCAGCCACAGAACTCGTGGGTGGTCTCTTGGTCACATCACCATTCAGGGCCCCTGCTCTGAGCAGGGATGCACCACGCCCATGTGTGCTATGTCTGCAAGGAAGCAGGGAAGTCTGCATCCCCCAACTGAATAGTTGCTACCCCCAGAGCACAGGACAGGGCCCGAGGAGCTGCAGGTTGGGCTCCCAAGGCCAGGCTTCCCCCAGGCACAGTTTGGATGCCATTGGACATTGTAAATCTGAACGATGTCTGACCCTAATTTCCTCATCAGAAAAGTGGGCATGATGATAAAAACAGCCCTTCCAGGGCTCATGTAGGGGTGGCAAAGTACTAGGCTGACCATGGGTCTTTCCACAACTGGTGTGTGCATGCGCATGTTTGTGTGTGTGAGTGTGTACCTGTGTATGTGTGTGTGTTCATGTGTAATACACACCAGCATGAAACGAGGCATCCTTTCTCCAGAGCACTGTTGATGTCTGTCCCCTTAAATAGCCAGTATTTCCATCCGATCATTTGTCAGACACAACAGATTTGCTTATGAATTTGCTAAATGAGCATACTCTTGGAGCTCCCTCCTCCAGAAGAGAAAGTGCTGGAGAAGCAAACAGTCATCTGGCTGAGTTGATGGGCCCTGTGGGGAGCAGAGTGGCCCCATGGTTAGCTGCTCTCTGGATGCAAGATGCCCTGGTACCACCCTGGGAGAACCCTGCTCAGCACACAGGAGGCCTGGCTCCTTGTCATGGCAGGCATTTTACACAGGGACCCACACCCATGCCCAGGAAAACATTTTCTGCCAAAAATAAAAAATTAGGGGGAAGGACTTTTTAATGACTTGCTTCTGAATTGTTAATACTTTCAATTTTGCCATTTTATTTTTTATATTTTGGAGCCAGTAATTTTGGGGGGGTCTCATCCGTATCTGGAGTCTCCCCTACCCCACATACATGAGAAGCTCAGCAGCCTGATGGATAAACCAGCCTGGCTGCTCCCACCCCAGAAGCTGTGTTACCCTGGGCAGCTTTCTCACCCTCTCTAAGCCTCACCTACTGCATCTATAAAGGGTAGGTAATGAGGTAATGAGAGAAACTACTTCCCACGGCCATGGTGAGAATTAGTTGACATGACACAAGCAAAGCCCACAGGACTGCACTCAATCAATACTAGTTGTATTAGTTTCTTACTGGTGCTGTGGCAAATCACCACAAATTTAGTGCCTCAGAACAACATAAATTTAGCCTCTTATGATTACAGAAGTTAGCAAGTCTGAAATCAGTTCCACTGGGCTAAAATAGAGGTGTTGGCAGAGCTGGTTATTTCTGGAGGCTCTGGTGGGAGAATCCACTTCTTGGCCTTTTATGACTTCTAATGGCTGCCTGAATTCCTTGGCTTGTAGCCCCTTCTTCCATCTTCAAAGTACATTACTCCAGCCTCTGCTTCCATCATCATGTTGCCTTCTGGAGCCATCTCCCCCTTTCTCTCTTATAAGGACACCTGTGATTGCATTTAGGGCCCACCCAGATAATCTCCTCATCTCCAGATCCTTAACTAAATCACATCTGCGAAGTCCCAAAAGGGCATATTCAGGGGATTAGGACCTAAATATCTCTGGGACCCATTATTCAACGTACTACACTAGTTATTATAATGACTGTTGTCATTACCCAGTGGAACTTGGGCAATAAAATTTGTCAAAGGCACATTAGGAGAGAGGTGGGGAGAGTCTAGAGGCAGGAAGGGCAGAGGTGGGGTGGGGGCATTTCATTCACTCCTTCAGTCAACAATACTTCTAGAGAGTCTGCTGTGTGCCAGTCAGACAGACAGCTATGAATTTGCAAATAAAATCCCGGCCCTTCTGGAATACCCTTAGAGAGAAGCACCTTCCCTTTTGACCTTCTCTTCTTCCTATCCTTCCCTCTACCTCCCCAAAAGAGCTGAGAAATTCAAGAGAAGGGACCTAAGATGTATTGGGCCCCAAATGGGATGGTAAAAGCCTCTGACAAAAGCCTGGCCCTGCCCTCAGCTCCATCAGACCTCCCCTGACAGGGCATGCTGGCAATCCAGTCAGTCTCAGGCTCCCTGAAACAAGTGAAAATACAGAAAATCTCAGCAGAGAAACAGGAGATATAAGGAAGAACCAAATGGAAATTTTAGAACTGAAAAGTGCAATAACTAAAATAAAAACTGAATGGATAGGTTCAACAGCATAATGGAGAAGACAGAGGAAAGAATCAGTGAGCTGGAAGATAAAACAATAGAAATTTTACAATCTGAACAACAGAGAAAAATATAGACTGTACCAGAGCCCCAGGGACCAGTGGGACTATAACAAAAGATCTAACACTCATGTCATCAGAGCCTGGGAAGGAGAGGACAAATTGGGTATGGTTGAAGAGTACTTGAAGAAGTAATGCCTGGAAATTTCCCAAATGTGGAAAAGACATAAACCTACAGATTCAAGTTGCTGAGTGAATCCCAAACAGGATAAACCCAAAGAAACCCATACCAAGACTCATCATAGTCAAACTTCTGGCAACTAAAGAAAAAGAAACAAATCTTGAAAGCACTGAGAGAGAAATGATACTTTACCTATAGGAGAAAAACAATTCAAATGACATCAGGTTCCCCATCAGAAACCATAGCCAGAGGCAGTGGCACATTTTTCAAGTGCTGAAAGAAAACAACTGCCAACCCATAATTCTATATCCAGTGAAAATATCCTTTAGGAATTTACTGTAGATAAGTCAAAATGGAATTCTAAAAACTGTTCAGGTAACCCACAGAAAGAGAAGAAAAACAAAACACAGAACAAATAGAAAATAATAAATAAATAGGCAGACTTAAGCTCTAACATATCAATACTTATATTGAATGTAAGTGGTCCAAATACAACAAGTAAAAGACAGAGGCTGGCAGAATAAATTAAAAATGTGACCCAACTATATGCTGCCTACATGAAACTCATTTCAAATATAATGATGTAGACAGGTTAAAAAGTAAAAGGATGGGGACACATTAATCAAAAGAAAGCAGAAATGGCAATAATAATATCAGATAAAGTATACTTCAGAGGAAAGAAAATTTCCAGAGGCAGAGAGGGACATTATGTAATGACAAAATTGTCAGTCTCCCAAGAAGATATAGCAATCCTAAATGTGTATCTACCAAACAACAGAGTTGCAATATTTATGAAGCAAAACCCAATAGAACTGAAAGGAGAAATAAATAGATCCACAATTATAGTTTGGAGATTTCAACACCCTCTCTTAACAATTAATATAACAACTAGACAGATAATCAGCAAAGACATAGCAGAACTCACCAATACCATCAAACAATAGGATCTAATAGACATTTATAGAACATTCCGTACAACTACAGCAGAATACACATTTTTTTCATTTGCCCACGAACATATACCAAGATAGACCATATCCTAAGTGCAACAAATTAAAGTAATTGAAATCATACAGCATGTGTTCACAGCATGTGATCACAGTGGAATCAAGCTAGAAATCAATAACATAAGATAACTGGAAAATGTCCAAACACTTATAATCTAAACAACACAATTCTAAATAATCCATGAGTTAAGAAGTCTCAAGGAAATTTTTTTAAAAATTGAACTAAATGAAAATGCTATCAAAATTTGCAGGGTGCAGCTAAAGCAGGGATGAGAGGGAATTTTACAGCATGTAATGCATACATTAGAAAAAAAGGAAACACCTCAAATCAATCATCTAAGTTCCCACCCCCAGAACCTAGAAAAAGAGGAGCAAAATAAACCAAAAGTCAGCAGAAGGAAGGAAATAAGAGCACAAGAGAGCAGAAATCAATGAAACAGAAAACAGAACAATTTTTAAAAGTTAATTGAAGAGCTGGTTCTTTGAAAAGCACAATAAAATTTCCATCCTCTAGCAAAGAACTTCTTGACAAAGAAAAAGAGAGAGAAGACAGAAACTACCAGTATCGGGAATGAAACAGGGTATCACTACAGACTCTGCCAACATCAAAAGACTTGTAAGAAAATACTATGAACAACTCTATGCATGTAAATTTAACAATTTAGATGAAATGGACCAATTCTTCAAAAAACACAAACTGCCACAACTCAACATAAAATAGATAATTTGAATAGCCCTATAGCTAATAGGGAAATTGAATTTTTCATTTAAAAACATGCCAAAATGAAATGTCTGAGCCCAGATAGTTACACTAGAGAATTCTACCAAATATCTAATGAAGTAACACCAACTCTGCACAATCTCCTTCAGAAAAAAGAAGAGGAGGGAACTTCCCAGTTTATTTTATGATATCATTATCATGATATCAAAACTGGACAAAGACAGTACAGATAATACACTCTACCCAGATAATCCCTCATGAATATAGATGCAAAAAATCCTTAAGAAAATATTAGCAAGTATAATATTAGCAAGTATAATTCAGCAAAATATAAAGATAATCATATATCATGACTGAGTGGCCTTACTCCAGAAATGCAAGGCTATTCAATATTTGAAAATCAGCCAATATAATCCACCATATTAACAGGCCAAAGAACAAAAAAAAAACTAGATTGTGTCAATCAGTGGAGAAAAAGCATTTGACAAATTTCAACACCCGTGCATGGTAAAAACTCTCAGAAAAATAAGAATAGAAGGGAATTTACCAACTTGATAAATTGCATCTACAAAAACCCTTCAGCTAACATCATATTTAATGGTGAAAGATGGAATGCTTTCCCACTAAGATTGGTAACAACTCAAGGATGTCTACTCTCACAACTCTTATTCAACATTGGTGGAAGACCTAGTCAGTGCAATAAGGCAAGAAAAGGAATAAAAGACATACATATCAGAAAGGAATTAACACTGCCCCTATTTGCAGAAGATGTAAAAAATCCCAAGCGATCCATAAAAACTCCTAGAACAAAATGAGTTCAGCAAGCATCACAGAATACAAAATAAACAAGCAAAAATCATTTTATTTCCATGTACTCACAATGAATATGAGTTCACTGAAATTAAATATACAATATCATTTACAATCAATCAAAAAAGAAATGCTTAGGTATAAATCTAACACAACATGTATAGAATTTGTATGCTAAAAACTACACAATGCTGATGAAAGAAATCAAAGAAGATCTAAATAAATGGAGAGACATGAAATCATAAATTGGAAGACTCCAACCTAGCAAAGATATCAGTTCTCCTTTCCAAATTTCAGGACAGATTTAATGCAATTCCAGGAAGATTTTTTATAGATACAGACAAGATTATTCTAAAGTTTATATGAAAATGCAAAGGAACTAAAATAGCTGAAACAATTTTGAAAAAGAAGAATGAAACAGGAGGAATCACTCTACCCGATATTAAGGCCAATATAGCTTGAATAGCTACAGTATTCAAGACAGTGTGGTGTTTGCAGGACAGACACATAGATCAATGTAACAGAATAGAGGACCCATAAAGAGACCCACAGTGATTCTTGACAAAGGTGCAAAAGCAATTCAGTGGAGGAAAGATAGTCTTTGCAACAAATGGTGCAGGTGCATTTGGACATCCATAGGGCAAAAAATGAACTTCAACCTAAGTCTCACACTTTATGCAAAAATTAAATCAAAATGGATCACAGGCTTGAATGTAAAATGTAAAACTATAAAACTTTTAGAAAAAAAAAAAGCAAGAGAAAATCTTCAGGATGTAGAACCAGACAAAGAGTTTCTTATAAAACTAAGTATGCAACTACTATGTGACTCAGCAATTACACTCTTGGGCATATATTTATTCCAGAGAAATGAATTTACAAGTTTGCACAAAAACTCATACACCAATGTTTACAGAAGCTTAATTTGTCACAGCCAAACACTGGAAACCATACAGATGTCCTTCAGTGGGTGAATGGTTAGACAAAGTATGGTATGGAATACTATTCAGCAACAAAATGGAATGAACCACACTGATACACACTACAGCATGGATGAATCTCTAGAGAATTACAGTGTGAAAAGAGTCAATCCCAAAAGGTTACATACTGTGTGATTCCATTTATATCACATTCTTTAAATGACAAAATATAGACACAGGGAACAGATTAGTAGTGGCCAGTGGTTAAGAGAGGTGTGGGGATGGGAGGGAAGTGTGTGTGGCTATAAAAGGGTAGCATGAGGGATCCTTGTGGTGATGGAATGTTCTATATCTTGACTGTGTCGGCGCCAAAATCCTGGTGATGATCCTGTCCTATAGTCTAGCAAGTGGTTACCATTGGGGGAAACTGGGTAAAAGATACACGGATCTCCCTGTATTATTTCTTACAATTGCTTGTGAATTTACAGTTACCTCCCAACAACAATTTAATTTAAAAACAAAAAGCAGGTGAGAGTCTGGGTGTAGAAGAGGTTATTGTCATGGCTCATAAATGCATAATATCACTTCATTTTCTGACTAGGTCTTTATTTGGCTTCTTATGAAAGTGAGAGTCCAGAGAACCAAACAGAAAAAGAGAGGTGGAAATCTCTAAGGTGAGTCTCTGTGCCAAGACAAGTGTGGGAGGCAGGTGGAGGGAGCAGGTGGGGCGCTTGGGGCCAAGACAGAGTGGAGGGACTTCATCTACACTCGGTTGTCAGCCTCCTGGGAGCCCCTCCGTGGGGAGGGGGCAGGTCAGACCAGGGTCTTAGAGGTGGAGGAGGAACTTAAGCGCTAGGGTAGGGAGAAGAGGCTGGAACCACGATCCCCCACGACTGGAGGCTGCCCCGTGGGCAGTTGAGATGTGTGCCCCAGGGCCTGGAACCCCAGTCCATACTCTTATGCCAGAAAGTGAGACACACACCACCTCCTGCTTGTTCGGCCTGTTAACACAGCCAAGCGGAGGTTGGAAATGATGTGCAGCTGCGGGCTCTAAGGACTGAGCCAAGAGGATTGCACATGCCCCTGTGGGGTGGGGGGCTGGATGGGAGTATAACCACAGGCCGGGCCAGCAGGCTCTCACCACCCTCGCTCGGCATGTTTAAATCTGCAGGTCTTCTATTCTGGGGAAGACGTGAAAAGCACTGAGCTGGAGGAGGAGGAGAGGGGGGAGGAGGAGAGGAAGCCAGCAGAAGCCTTCTGCCGCCCTGCCCCAGCCAGCCCAGTGGGAGGAGGAGGCATTGGTGCCTCGCTGCTTTGCAAACCGTGACCCTGTGGCCTGGTGCCCATCACAGTGACCACACAGCACAGGAGACCTTTCTCCACCTTTTGTGGAACCTCAGCCCTGGAAGGGCCCAGAGCCTCCAAACACAGGGGTGGCACGTGCCTCAGGGGCCCTACCTTCAGGACAGTGATGTTCACATTGTTGGTCAGTCTGTCTGTCCTCAGCGATGACCCAAGGGGTTGGGTGACTGCAGTGTTGCTCTCAGTGGGTGACTCGTGCCATGGAGACAGACACCCGGTCCATCTCCAGATGGCCTGGGAGCCTCTGTATCTCCAGCAAACATCACCATGACGTGAGAAGGGCCAGAGTCCACCAGTGGCCTCTGCCATTCTACTGATGGACCTGACCCTGCCCCTTGAGATGGGCTGGTTTCTGCAGCCCCGTGCACCCCCTTTCTGCATCCTGCTGGTATCGGGATAGCTTTCTGGTGACCACTATAATGCTGGTCAGCAGGACAAATTTGAGTCACAGACTTGACAGTGTGTACAGTACATTGTAAATTTTAGAGTTGGTATAAACACATTGGTATACCCTGCGTATCCACATCCACTTCATGTCTCTCACCCGTGGGCTTCTGCCAGGATGCAGGGCAGTTTCCCAGCTCAGGCCCAGGAATGCTGTGACCACAGCTCAGGAGGGGGACTTGGTGGCTATTTCCACTCCATAAACCCCATGTCCTGCTAAAAGGAGCTGGTGTGCAGTAGATGCTAGGTAAGCTCCGGTGAATGGATACTGACAGCCTTGTGTGAGGCCAGACACATCTCTTGTTTGGGCAAGGAGTGATGAACCCAGGGAGGACCCTCAGCCCACCATGAAGCTCCTCCCCTGGGGCTCTCACCCAGCCCTTCACACGCTGAGCCAAGTTTCTGGGCCAGGAAGTGGAGGGGCTGTGGAGCTGCTGAGCCCCCACTTGGCAAGTGACCACGTCACCCAGCCAAGAAGTCAGGGAGCGTGATGTACACCCCCATTCCTGGTCAGGGCCTGAGGGCAGAGTGATGTGTTGAAGGTGCACTGATGCATCCTGGCCAGCTCCTGACCATGTCAGGACTCTCAGAGTCTAGGCCCCCTTCAGCTAGGACCTGACACCTCTGTCCTGGCAGTGTGGCCTTGGGTCCCACCTGAGGGACAGGCAAAGCCAGAGCAACCAGCACCCCAGGTGCCTCCCCCAACTCGAGGCATTCTGCCTGATGAACCCAGGACCTCAGCAAGGCCCCAGAAGGGCCCTGCAGCCTGACAGAGGCATGGGAATGCTGCACGTTAGGGTTGAATGGGATCTGATCTGCACCATACCAGCCCACCCCTTTCCATCTGAGACCCTAGAGAGGGTGAGTAGTGGAGTGGGTAGCAGAGCAGGAACTGGGCTTCAGCCAAACCCAGGCTCCCACCCTGCCTCACACCATATCTAGCTCCCACAGGGGTGTGGGTGGGGCCCTGGTGCCAAACCCAAGGAGTCCTGGGGGGTTCCAGGAGCTGACTAGAAGCACCTCCTGATCCCCTCGTCCCTACCCAACACACTCCCTTGGTGTCTGGGGCAACATTAGACAAAACCCCTACAAACATCAGCAGGGACTGTCCCTGCATCCTGGTCACACTGAGCGCTGCCTGTCAGGAGCAGGGGCAAGTGGCACAGAAGGGGTTAGTGGCCTTGGAGACATGTGATGGCCGGTCCAGGGCTGATGCCCATGGAGCTCTGGGAGGCCTGCCCGGGAAAGAGGAGGTTATATCCTTCCCCAGCCACAGGGAGACAGGACACTCTGGAGGGGGCTCCCAGTCTACCCATGGGCCCCGACCTTGCTGGTCACCTGGCTCCAGCTCCCTGCTCCTGAGCAACTCAGTTCAGGGACCTATGAGGAAACCCCAGAATGCTGAGCTTCAGGAAGCAGCAGGTGAGGTCAAGGGGCTGGGGGCAGCTGGCCACTGTCCCCCCTGCCTCATGCAATCCCTCACCCAGGCCCAGGATCCCAGCTCTCTCTCCAAGGCCAGATTCCAAATTCCTCAGCTCAGCCATACCCCTCGCAGTCCTCTCCATCTCATACTAGGAGATTGCGGCAGCCTCCTCCAGGCTGTGGGGAGCATGAAGAAAGGATGTTGGAGAAGCAGTACAGGGCCCGCAGCTGAAACTCTGGAGGTTAGGTGGGAGGCAAGTCAAGCATGTCACTGCTGATAGAGGCCCACCCCCAGGCTTGAGGCTATTTCCTATTTCCTAGTTCTGTGGCCTTGCAATTGCTCTTCCCGCTGCCTGGCATGCTGTTCCTGAGCTTGTTGATCTAGTCGGAGCTGCAAACTCAGCTGTAAGTTCCCCCTTCTGGGCAGAGGTTCCTGACATGCAGCCCCCTCACCCACATCTGCTCCCTCTAGTCTGCAAGCCCCTCAGAGGCCCAGTGCAGAATAGGTGTCAGGTGAGGATAGTGGTGTGAGGCCTGGGCTCATCCCCAGCTGGGAGAGAGTCCAGGGAAGGAGGGAAGGAGGCAGCCCATGGCCAGCCCCACAGAGATCACAGGGCCAAGGGGACTCAAGCTGAGTGTGTTTGTGTCTTAGGTTCATCCCAGGGGCCCTGCTCCCTGCCTCGCTGAGCATCCACTTGGTACCAAGCCCTGGGTGCCCAGGCTAGGAGGAGGGCCTTCTCTCAGTAACTCCGCAGGTGGGGATCTTGGTGCCCTTTCTCCAGGTGCAGCCTCGGAGCCCAGAGAGGGATGGTGCCCTGCTCATAGCCATTTGGATGGTTCCTTAGTCACATCCAGGACTCCAGGCCCTTCCCTGTAGAGGCCCTTTTGTCCTCCTGCCGTCCTGGCCTCAGTCCCTATGGCCAGGTCAGATGGCCCACAGGGGATGCAGCAGTTGGAGCCTATTCCTGGGGGGCAGGTGTCAGCCACACAGGTGGTGCCCAAGAGTGAGGCCCGTGAGGCCCAGTTTGGTGCCAGGTGACACAGATCCCTGCCACACAGCAGGTTTGAGGCCGCCCAGCTGAGCCACACAGCAGGCACTTGGGCCTCAGGGCTCCGGGACGACCAACAGCCCCACTGTGCACAGGAGGCCAGGGAAGGGCCATGGCTATGGTCTCTCTTTTTTTGTCTAGCACTTTTTCTCTGAGCCCTCCAGGGAAGGAACAGGGGGGTTAGGACAGGAAGATGTCCCTGTCTGGGGTTTGCCTCAGAGACCCCTGGGGCTGGCTGGGGTTCAGAATCAATTCATCTCATATGGGCGATCTGTGGGTCCTCTGAAGCCCCTGCCCCCTACATTGCTTCCCTACCCACCCTAGTTTCTTGGGGCGGGTGTCTCCATTGTGGCCAGTGACCAGTGACTTATCCCGGGAACTCAGCCAGGCTTCTGTGGAGGCCTGTCTATCCACCTGACAGCCCTCCAGGGCAGGACCCCAGACAACCCCAGGATGATTCTCAAACGTGTATCCAAAGTTGTCCCAGAACACCACAGACCCTAACAACTCAGAGACAGACAGCCACCAGTGTGGCCCCTCGTCCTTCAGATACCGCAGGCAGGTATCAGACCTCAGGGCACTTCATCCCCCACGCTGCAGGGCTCATATGAGGTTCCCAAGGAAGGGGCACCCCACCCACAGCACGCCTAAGCAGTGCCCTCCACAGTCTCTAACTCTTGACCACCCCATCCATGAGTCAAGGGAGCAGGAAGCCAGATAACTCAGTCAAGAGCCACAGTCAGGGTGTGCCTCAGCTGGAAGCTCCATTTCACCCCAAAACTGAAATGCTTCCATCATGGGTGCTAAGCCTCAGATCTGGCACTTCGTATACAGCCTGACACATCCCACGAGATAGGTGCTATCACCATCCCCCTTGCCAAGTGACAAAACGGAGGCTCAGAAAGGCAAAGCCATTGCCCAAGGACACCCAGCTTGCAGGGACAGAGCCTGGGCCTACCAGGGCCCATTGTCCAGCAAGGCTCTGCTGCTCAGGGTGCTGAGGAGCCAAGGGGGGCTCCAAATGGCCTCTGGGTCTTCCTGCCAGCACAGACACAATGACACACATCTTTCCTCCACTCTTGCCCCTTCCTCTTTGGAGGGTTGCTGAGCCCCCTCGTGCCCCCTGGTGCATGTACTGTCTCATTTATGCTCAAGACAACCTCCCCGCTCCCCTATTGCACACACACCTCTGTGGGCTCTGCTGGGCACAGCTGTGCCTCTTCCCCAGCAGCAGAAGACAGCAGGCCTCACCCCACGCTCCCCATCATGCTACCCTTTGCCACCGGCATCCATGCTGTAAGGTTCACATCCCAGTACACAGCGTCTTCAGTGAAAATGGCTCCATTTTTCACTCTCAGGACTCAGATGGGAGCCCTAGATCCCTGGGCCAGGGAACAGATCCAGAGAGATCTTAAAATACACACACAAGATGCTTCTCAGCACAACCAGGCCCTTGCCCTCAGGCTGAGCAGAGAGCCTGACACTGCCTTAGATATCCAATGCTGGGCCTCCAGGCAAGACCAGAAGAGTAGGAAAATTAACTGGGAATGAACAGACCTGAGGCATAAGCTAGAACCCCCACCAATAGACCTCCATGAAGTGGGCAAGCTGGGGAAAAGATCAGCAGAGAGACGGCGGAGACAGGAATCCAGTGTGTCGGGGGCAGAGAGCAATGGCAGGAAAGACTTGCAGAGGCCATATGGTGAAATACAACCCCCTCACCTGGGGAAGACCAAGGAGCCTGGAGTTTACCCTGGAACTCTGGGTTGGGGCAGGAGGGACACTAAAGTGTTTTAGGAGGTGATGTAGTTGTTACTTTTATGTGTCAACCTGACTGGGCCACAGGGTACCCAGATATTTTGTCAAACATTATTCTGGTGTGTCTGTGAGGGTGTTTCTGGATGAAATTAACATTTGAATCAGTGGACTCAGTAAATCAGATTGTCCTCCCCAATGTGAGGGGGACTCACCCAAATCAGTTGGAGGCCTGAAAAGAACAAAAGGTGAAGTAACGGAGAATTCACTCGCTCTCTGCCTATTTTTGACCTGGGACACGGTTCTTCTGCATTTGGACTGGAATTTACACCATTGGCTGTCCTGACTCTCCAGATTGCACATGGCAGATCTTGGGACTCTCAGCCTCCATAATTACATGAGCCAATTCCTTATCATCTATCTGTCATCTACCCATCATCTATATCTATCTATCTATCTATCTATCTACCTACCATCTATCTCTCCTATTGGTTTCTCTGGAGAACCCAGACTAATATAAGAGTTTTAGAAAACACAGTCCGTTTTAAAAAGATTTCTTTGATACCTTTTAACCCAATAATTCTACTTTTGTAATTTATCCTAAGGAAAAAAATTTGATTAGCACAGTATTTGCATAATAAGGAAGTAACTAATGGTTACATTATTCCTGTTCCTGTGACAGCAGGTGGATTTTGCTCCCCAGCCCAGCCCAGAACCTAGAGAGCCCCCACCTGCTGAAGAGGCATGCCTAAACTCCTTCTTGGAGCCCAAGTGGGAGACTGGTGCATTCTCCTGGCCTCTGCATGCACACTGGATGGGCTGACAGTGAGGAGCTAAGTCAGCAATAATATTAGTGCAGCATAGCAATGCAGAAAGCTCTTCAGCCAATTTACTTACTCTTACTGCTTTTGTGGACAGTTACATCTCATTTACTTCAATAATTATTTGCCTTTTTGCATTAAAACATAAATAAAATACATCAGGGTAGAGCACAGTTTGGTTTAAATTAAGATCTCTTAACACTAATATATACAACCTCTCTGTCTAGGTCTGTCTTTATAGTTAATCACTGGATCTCACACACGCAGGCACTTAGCAAGGAGACCTGCTAGGAGACGCTAACAGGACGCAGGCGAGAGAAGAAGGTAACCTGGGCCAGAGTGTAACAGTGGAGGTAGCAAAACATGACCCGGTTTGGGATATATTTTGAAGGTAAAACCTTCAGAGTATTTGCTGATGGAGTTGAATGTGAGAGAAAGGGAAAGGTCAAGACTGACTCCAAGGTTTGGGGGCCTTAGCAAATAAAGGAATGGCACTGCCATTTACTGAGCTGTGGGAAACCGGGAGAGGAGTAGGATTAAAGGGGAAAATCAGGAATTTGATTTGGAGCATGCTCAGTTTGAGATGTTCATTAGGCAACCCAGTGAAGGTGTCTGGTACGAATTGGAATGACATGACTCTGGGGTTCTGAGGGCAGATCTGGCCTGGGTATATAAATCTGGGGGGCTTCCCTGTGCAGGCTGCTTTACAGCCAGGGGCACAGATAAAACACCTAGAGAGCAGGGCACAGAGAGAAGATAACTGAGCCCTGGGGCATTCGAATGTTTAGAGGTTGGGGAAATAAAGCAGATCCACCAAAGGACATTGAGAAGGAGTTTCTAGAAGTTAAGAGGAAAACCAAAGAAGAGACAAAAGCTGATAAAGAGAGATTCAAGAAGGAAGGGATGATCACCTGTGTCCCGTGCTACTGAAAATTCAAATAAGACAAGAACCAAGAGCTGACCTTCACACTGGGCAGCAAAGAGGTAAACAGCAACCTCAAAGGGAGGAGTTCCGGGGAAATTTGGGGTGGGGGAAACGTATGACCGAAGACGATTCAAAAGAAAATGGAAAGATTGACTATCCCATAGAAAAATGGGCAGGAGATAAAAACAGTTTCATAGAAGAAGAAATGCAAATGACTCAAATGTATGAAGAGATGCTCAGGGATGGCAGAAATGTTCAATCTCACTCAAAAGAGGACCACATTGGTATGCTGTTTTCACCTCTTAGATTGACAGACTAATAATTGCAAAATTGTGTGGGCAAAGATGGGGAAACAGACAGTCCCACATTGCTCTTTGGAGTGTAATTGATACAGTCCTATGGAAGTGAATTTGGCAGTTTTCACCAGAATTGCAAATACGTGTATGCTGTGACATAGTTATTCCATCTCTTGCAATTTATCTTACCATCATGCTTGTACACCTCCAAATGAATAAGCCTGCAGACAGCTATTCATCACAGCACTGTTTGACAGAAAAAGATTGGAAACAGCCCAAGTGTCAATAAATAGGAAACTTGTTAAATCAATCACTGCACAGCCCTACCACAGAATACTGTGCAGCTGTAATGAGGATGCTCTTTACCTACTGATATAAAAAGGTACCCACTATATGATACAGGTATAAAAAAGCGTGTATAGTATGTTAGCATTTGTGTAAAAATGGATGGGAAGAAATATATATTTATATTTGCTTATATTACATTCAAAGTCTCTAAAATTTTTTAAACGTTTTAAAATACACAAAAATCTAATAATAGTTAACTTTGGGAGATGTGGACTGGGTGGATAGAAAAAGACTTTCTGCTTCTAAACTATGCAATGTATTACCTATCCAAAAATTAAATTGATTAAAATTTCACACACAGAGAGAGCGTGTATTTGAGAATCTGAAGAGTGAAGACTTCCAGCTTCTAGCTGTGGGAGATTTCTATGCACATGGGATTACTGGACAGGATCTATACATTCTTAATTTCACAGAATATTGCTTTCCAGAATATTTGCCAGTCTATATCCCCACCAACAAGATTCAGGGGGCCCCCCAAATCCTTGCCAACACTTAATAACATCAGGATATGTTCCTGCTGCAAGATATGTGTGCCAAATAAGGAAATAAGAAAGGTGATGAGCACCAGCAATCATAGGCTACAATGCAAGGAGAGAACAAGGGAAGACATGGGGAAACAGGGCAGACTGGAGCAAGTAGGGCAGGAACTCCTGGAAAAGCCTGCTCTGAGGGATGGCTGGCAGGTGTGACCATCCTAACCATTATCCCAGAGTGCTCTTGGGGAATGGAAAAAGGAAGGGAAGGGGAGAAAAGGGATAGCTGACCTTTGTTATAAGCCCTTTAACACTATAGATTATTTTCAAGCAGTACTTTGATTTTTTAAATTAATTTCAAAAATAATTTCTAGGGGCTTCCCTGGTGGCGCGGTGGCTGAGAGTCCGCCTGCCAATGCAGGGGACACGGGTTCGTGCCCCGGTCCAGGAAGATACCACATGCCGCGGAGCGGCTGGGCCCGTGAGCCATGGCCGCTGAGCCTGCGCTTCCAGAGCCTGTGCTCCGCAACGGGAGAGGCCACAGCAGTGAGAGGCCGGCGTACCGCAAAAATAATAATAATTTCTAAAGCCAAATTATAAAATTCCATTCAAGGATTATACCAAAAAAATTACAGTAAATCACTGTGGGAGGTAGAATGAGGCTCCCAAACCTGAGAGGGCTTGTGTACCCAGAATAATGAGCAGGGAAATGGGGAAGTGCAGGGACAGCAAAAGATAGGTTTATCTCTCAAAAGCTATCTCCTTCCAAAGTAATACGATTCCAAACACTTGGGGCTACCAGAGGAGGAAACACCTGGGGACAGAGGATGGGGAGGGCAGGGCCAGAAAAGTTTCTCAGAGCAGTGATGATGAAGAGTCTCTTTCAAGCATCAGAGGCAGAAATCTCAAAGAGCAGGTGGGAGGAGTTCCACTTCTAGAATGGTCATGTAAGGAGCTCCAGGGACCCACTCTCCAGTAAAACAAGCATAGGTGGTGAAAATGATTTTTTTTAAGTTTCTGTAAATTGTCTTAAGAGCATAGAGTAAATGAAGAAAAACTTATTTAAGAAAATCTACTGAAACTCAGTAAGAACAGTGAAAGTTTATGGTGTTTGAACCCACTTCCTTACTCTTCACTCTCAGTTCAGCATGATAGATGCTCCACTCTAGGCAGGTGCAACCAAGAACATAGGGCTCCTTCTCCCCCCAGATTCCAGTCAAGGGCTACCATATCTCCCCAAGAGGAACACAGTGCCAGTATTTCTCATCCCCACACCCCAGTTACATGTTGCAAAGGTTAAACCCTGAGTTAGTACACCTGAGAGGTCAGAGGCTCCCTTCCTCCACCAGCTCCTATTCATAGAGTGGAAACTCTATCCCAGGTGTTTTAGTCAGAGAATATCGGAGCCCTGATTACCCTCACCCCAGCTCACTTGTAAGGTGAAGTTTCCACGCTGGGAGAGGCAAGCCAAGGAGACCAGATGCTACAGCCCCCACACAGTGCTCTGCCCATAAAGCAAAGATATCACTCTGAGAAAGTGGGTCACTGTCCCCATTACCCATGATGGAGCAGTGGCTCAGAGACTTTGCCCAGGGATAGGGAGGCCATAAGAACAGAGAACTCCCAAGCTTTACCCAGAGGATATTACTTTATTTGAAACATAATGTAGCAAATTTCAAGCCTAAGGGCACTCTCAAAAACAATAGAAATTTCTGTAAGCAATTAGCTTAATTGCAATTAAGCAATTAGTAGGAGACTAGTAGCTTGTGAGAACTATAAGCTAAACCATAAAACAGCTAGGTTACCAGAAAGAACCATGGAAAAAGGCAGTGATGAAGAACCCAACTGGGGTCAGAACAAAACTCAAAAATTGACCTTTAAAACTACCCCTGAAAAGGGGACTTGCATTTAATTGGACCAGACTGTGGAACAGTATATGTCCCAGGACATTGTCAAAAGCAATAGAAAAATCATCCAAGAATTAGTGGAGCTTAACAGATGGGTGTGATACCAACAAAGAAAGACAGATAACAGAGAGATGAGGGAAAGAGACAGTCAAAAAGAACCCTGCCAAAGCCACCGTCATCTCAGGGTGACTGTGCACATGCCCAAGACTGCACCCTCTGAGGAGCAACATCAAAGGCTTCACACTGCCAGCAAAATAGATTTACTTCA